GGTAGGTTCATGACCTAGGTAGGTTCATGAACTTAACCCTTTCCACGATTCTGACACCTGTCCCTCTTTCTGGTTCTACCTCCAGCCAGGTTTCCAGGTAGTCTTGTCAACCACCCCCCGGGTCTGACGGTGCTGTTGCTTAATGCCAGGTCGGTCCACAATAAATCATCCCTCATCCACGACCTGATTGTGGATGAGGGGGCCGACCTGGCTTGTATAACAGAGACCTGGGCAGGAGAGGGGGGGATGTCGCCCTCTCACAAATGTGCCCGCCCAGGTATCTGGTTCAGCACCGTCCACGCCTGGAGGGGAGGGAAGGGGGTCGCTTTGGTTTACTGAGTCTCCATCTCCCTCACGGGGCTTCCAGTCTCTTCGAGGCTGGGGCTAGAGTGCCTCTACTTGGTGTTGGGTGACCGAGACAGATTGGGGATTCTGTTGGTGTACCGCGCACCCTTCTGCCCAACAGTCTCCCTGCCTGAGCTGATGGAGATTGTCTCGGACCTGGTGTTGAGGACCCCCAGGATGTTGGTCCTGGGGGACTTCAATCTCCATGCGGAGACTGGTCTGACCGGGGCAGCTCAGGACTTCATGGCCTCCATGACGGCCATGGGGCTGTCTCAACACGTCGTTGGCGCAACCCATGAACGTGGACACAGTCTGGACCTGGTTTTCTCAACGGGACAGGAGGAGGGTGGTCTGAGGGTGAGGAATTTATGTCTGACACCCCTGTCATGGTCAGATCACTTCCTGGTGAGGTTTGTGCTCGAGAGTGGCCTTTCCCTCTGTAAGGATGTGGACCCGATTGTGTGGGTCCACCCCCGGAGCCAGATGGATCCGGACGGATTCCTGAAGGCCCTGGGGGAGTTTCCCGCTGACAAGACTGGTGCTCCTGTCAAGGCTCTGGTCGAACTATGGAATGGGGAAATGACCAGGGCTATTGACATGTTCGCTCCTAAGTGTCCTCTCCCTCCAGGCAGAACCCACTCTTCCCCTTGGTATACACCTGAATTGCGGGTGATGAAGTGGGCTGGGAGATGTCTAGAGCATAGGTGGAGGAAATCACGGGATGAATCTGACTGAACACACTTAAGAGTCCATTATCAGGCCTATGCTGTGGCGGTGAGGGCAGTGAAAAAGAAATTCTTCTCCGTTTCCATTGCCTCCTCACAATGCCGTCTGGCGGAACTGTTTTGGGTGGTACAAGGGCTGGTTTGTCCCGGCCCTAAGAAAGATCCGGTTCCACCCACGAAGGCCCACTGTGACAACTTTGCCAAGCATTTCAGGGAGAAAATCGCTCAGATTCGTCACAAGCTGGACTCCACTAGTGATTCAGAGGCTTCTGGGGAGATACCAATGTTGCCGTCTGGTCCAAAATTGATGGATGAATTTCAGTTACTGCGGCCTGATGATGTGGCAAGGTGCTTGGACAAGTACGTCCCATCACCTGCCTATTGGACCCTTGCCCATCTTCGCTAGCTAACAACGCCAAGCATGGGATAGGGATCTGAATCTTGGAAGTGGTTAACGCCTCTCTGAGGGAGGGCCAGGTACCTGCCTCTTTAAAGGAGGTGGTAGTCCGACGGTCCTGAAGAAGGCGTCACTGGATCCAGAGATGGCCACTAATTATAGACCAGTGGCCAACATCCCGTTTCTGGGCAAGGTGTTGGAGCGGGTGGTGGCGGGACAACTCCAAGCACTCTTGGAGGAAACTGATTGTCTGGACCCATTTCAGTCTGGCTTCAGACCTGGGTACGGTACTGAATCTGCCTTGGTCACCCTGTATGATGACCTGTGCAGGGAGAAAGGCAGGGGGAGTGCATCCCTGTTGGTTCTCCTGGACCTCTCAGCGGCTTTCGATACCATCGACCATGGTATCCTTCTGGATAGGCTAGCAGGATTGGGGGTCGGAGGCACTGCTTTGCAATGGTTCCACTCCTAGCTCAATGGCCGATTCCAGAAGGTGATGCTGGGGGACTATGGCTCTGCGCCATGGCAGCTATGCCATGGAGTTCCCCAGGGGTCCATTTTGTTCCGCTTGCTATTTAACATCTACATGGAACCACTGGGGGAGGTCATCAGGAGGTGTGGGCTGCGGAATCATCAGTACACTGATGATACCCAGCTCTACCTCTCATTGTCAACCAATCCAGGTGAGGCAGTGGCTGCACTGAACCGGTGCCTGGCCGAGGTAATGGGCTGGATGAGGACCAATAAACTGAAGCTCAATCCAGACAAGACGGAGGTCCTGCTGGTTGGTGGATCGGGCTTCGGTGAGGGTGCATTGAACCTAGTCCTGAATGGGGTTGCACTCCCTCTTAGGGACAAGGTCCGCAGCTTGGGAGTGCTCCTCAACCCAGAGCTTTCACTGGAAGCTCAGGTGACAGCAGTGGTGAGGAGTGCTTTCTTTCAGCTTTGGCTGATCCATCAGCTGCGTATCTACCGGGAGGATGACTGCCTGGCAAAGGTGACACACGCATTGGTGACTTCCCGACTTGACTTCTGTAACATGCTCTGCGTGGGGCTGCCCTTGAAGATGGTCCGGATACTTCAATTGGTTCAAGATAGAACTGCCAGGCTGCTGACGGGGACTGGGCGTTATGTTCACATGACTCCAGTTCTCCGTCAGCTTCACTGGCTCCCCAGTGAAGTCCGGGCCCAATTCAAGGTGTTGGTGATGACATATAAAGCCCTTAACTGCTTGGGTCCTGGTTACCTGAAGGAGTGCTTACGTCCATATATGCCCGCCCGCCCCTTGAGATCAGCGGGAGAGGCTCTTCTCCGGGAACCCTCCGTGAAGGATATTAGTAGGGTAAGTACTCAGAGGAGGGCTTTCTTTGCGGTGGGGCCCAATCTATGGAATATGCTCCCAAGAGAGGTCCGCCTGGTGCCATCGTTATTTGTTTTTTGGCACCAGGCGAAGACCTTTTTTTTCAAATGCTATTTTAATTGTTAATATTATTTATTTATTTTATTTTTCGGGCCAGGTCGACTCATATTATATTGTTTTATACTGTTCTTATTTATTTATTATTGTGAGCTGCCCCGAGGCTTCGGCGAATGGGGTGGCATAGAAGCCTTCTAAATAAATAAATAAATTCTGGTCGCAACCCAAATTGGTCGCAAACCAAGTCAAATTTCTCCATAAGGTTCAATGTAAATAAGGTTAATCCATTCTGAACCGTAACTTTATGTTACAGATAAAGGACGTCATATAAAAATTTTAAATAAATAAATACAGTTTTTTTAAACCACCAAAACATGAGCCATGTCCCCGGGCTGTGGGCCAAGCCGCGGTCACCTCACCAAGCCTGGGGGTGGATGGGCCGAAGTGGAGTGGGGCCATGGCTCCCACACCTCTGCCACGGCCTTCTCAGAGCCTGGGGAGCGCCTGTGAGGGGACCTTCTTCTGGCTCGGAAGCAGGCCGGCAGTGAGGAGCCGGGAAAGCCTCAACCGAGGTGAGTGTGCCCTCATGGCTCCCCCTTGTGGTGGGTGGGGAGAAGGTTATTGTTTGGAGTGTTCATGTGGGGAAGATGGCCGCAATCGTGATCATGTTTGTGCAGGAACATGGCCATGATCGTGGTTGTTACCCGATGCGGAGTTTGCGAATGGAGGCAAAATTCTGCCAAACTTTCTGTTCATGACCTGATTTGGTTGTGAACTGAGGCATTCATGAACTGAGGTACCACTGTATAGCTAATGGTGAGCAGTGATACAAGGTACAGAACAAAATATCTGGAGGCCTGGAAATTGTCCAACATTGCATTTAATGAATAAGATTATAGGATTTTTAACTAATTAAGCGGATATTGGAATTAAAGCTGGCTTGGGAAAGTACTTCAAATGTGCACATCTCTTGAATTTTTCTGCCTATATAACAGTTGTCAGAATTCTCTGACAATTCTGCAAGAGTCCATGCCAGTTTATTACAGCTTGATATAGCCATGACGACAATCTTTTCATTAGTGACGTTATTGGCTGCCTCTTCATTTCAATAACAGCACTTGCAATTTCACACTAAAATGGTTGCTTCTGTAGCTTTCTGCCTTTGGGGATCTCTTTCCATATAAACTTATCTGCTGAGGATGCCCTGTGCATTTATTGCAGAACATCTGTGCATTGAAGAAAATTTAAAGGGGTGACTGATTCTGGGCACATGCTTGGTTGACGTGCAGTGTTGGCCAGAACTGTAGGGTAAGTGTGGACAATTTCTTCCTTCAGTCCTAGCCAACATAGTTGTAACATCTGGAGCACCACAAGTTATTGTATAGAGCAGTGATGGCAAACCTTTTAGAGACCGAGTGCCCAAACTGCAACCCAAAACCCACTTATTTGTCGCAAAGTGCCAACACTGCAATAAAACCTGAAAACTGACGTTTTAGTTTAGAAAAAACAACTCACAGGCAGTCCAAGCAAATGGCAGTGCACTGACCGGCCATGCACAAGCTCGGACAAGTCGTGGCTAATGAGTTGTGGCTCGTGACACCATTGTCTGGCACCTCTACTCCTTTCCAAGCATACACATGGCCCCTATGTGCGCTGTTATCCAATGCTCAGCTGCTGGTGCGACTTGGCTCGCATGCCGACAGAGAGGGCTCTGCGTGCCCTCATGCATGCCATAGGTTCGCCACCACTGGTATAGAGCTTTGCTTTCAATATGCAGCTTGAAAAGCTATTTCTGCACATTATTGTGCAAGATTGGTAGTGGTAGCCAAGTTGTTTCACAGGAATTTGATATTACTGATCTTCTCACTAGGAACTTCTGAAACTTCTAAGGGACCATAGAGTTCTATGTAACAGACATGGGAGACTAGTGGCTTAAGTCATAGCTTCTATCCTTTCTTCATTGTGCTCTCAATTTTTGTGTGCAAAGAAAGTTCAGGCTGAGCATACAAAGTATAGCATCTGGTAAATTTATGTTACCAAATTGTGTAGTGAAAAAATGTTTATTGATGGTTTCCATTTAAGCAATAGCCCTTCTCGCCCCTCTATCTTGAACAGGATGGAGGCAAATTCGGATGAGCCAAGAGTTCCCCGGCCGTCTTTTCTTTCTGCTGTTGAGCTTTCCCCAAGAACTGGCCCTGTGGATGCTGGAGACATTAAGAAAGATCTCTCTGCTGACTTTTCAGCAATTTCTGATTTAAGCCAGGTAAAAGAGCTAAATAACTAAGATTTCATTTCTGTCTCAAAACTGGTTCAATTGTGGAGAGGAGTCACAATTAGACAGTTTTGTTATGCTTTTTAGTTAGCATTGTCTCTTTTTTCCAAAATAACATTCAGGGTGACTGGCTGTAATACTAATCAAACTTACCTGGGAGTAGGTCGCATTAAACTCAATACTAGTTTCATCTCAGTAAGCACGTACAGGATTTCACTGTTAATCTCCTAAAACAGGTATATGAAAACTGTGGCCCTGCCAGTGCTTTTGCCTTCACTCCCATCAGCTCCTAGCCAACACAGACAATGGTGAAGGATGATGGGAATTTCTAGGCCAAAGCAATTGGAAAACCACAGTTTATCCCATGCTGTCCTAAGAAATCCCTCTGTCATATTGCACTTGTAGAAATTGCCTCTCTGATACTGATTTAGTTGAGGTTGGATGACGACTTTGGAATGGCCAATTATTCATAGAATGAAATAACTTCCTGTCCAGCTTCAGTGAGAGAAGCAAAACTTGACTTTTGACCACAGTGAAAACTAGGATTATGACTAGAATGATTTGAGGGAGATGGCTGAAGACTGGAAAGAGATTGGGAGTGGTAGGGGGAACTATGGGCATGAAGTTCAGAGGCAGATATTGTGCCTGAAGAATGCAGAATGGGAAGGCAAATCTGAAGGAAAGCTGAGTGCAGGGTGAGGCCCGAGGAAGAAGGCATAAGAGTGAAAGAATTAAGGTGAGAAGGCACAAACTGGAAATGGGACTCTACGCATTTTCACTGTCTGTAGAAGGAATATATATCTTCTATATATTATAGAAGATGTGAGAGCAATATCGGAGAGGTTGGCTAAGTAAGGGTTGAAGGAAGTGGCTTTCAGCTAGAGTCAGTGAGAACCTTGAAGCAGTGGATGGTTGTACTGGTCTGAATTTCACAGTGATTTGATCTAACCAGCTAATCAGAAGTAGGTTTCTAGTCCAATTCAAATCTTATCATGGCTCTTAAGAGGGGGCTTCCATCATACTATTTCTCTATTATACCATACACTGTTGTCACATTTAGGGACATAGATCCAAAGTTTTAAGAGCTTGAGCTGGTAATTCCAGCCACCCCCCCACCCCGCCAAGAAAGAAAGAAAAGATGCTGATGTATTGTACCTTGAAAATGACTGGCGTGTCAAATTCTAATATTGAGGAAGTTTCAGGTCATGGTTGTGACAAGTGAAGTGTTAAATTACCTGATTGTAGGAAAGAGACATACAAGAACTGGGAGGGAGGGAAGCATGTCTCTGAAATTACTGTCACTTTATAAAATGGTCAGTCAAGGGGCACATGAAAATTCTTCATGAACTGCAACTGCTATATTCTCATTTGATTTATTTTTTTTCTTTTAGAGAGAAAGCCTGGAATCCAAAGAACGTATTCATGTTTGCTTACGTATTAGACCATATATGCAGTCAGAAAAAGAGAGCAATTCAGAGGTGTGGCTTAAATTTAAAAAGGAAAAAATTCTAAAGGCAAGGCTTTGTTTAAGGATTAACATCAGCTCATCTAAAAGTGTCCACTCATCTCCTTTCTTACAGGACTGTGTTTCTGTTCTTGATCCAACAAGCATTATATTAAAAGCCCCCAAGAATTCCAAGGCATTTCGACTAAGTAAAAAGAATTTGGCGCAATTGGTGCAGAAATTTACTTTTTCACAGGTAAGTAAAAGGAAAGCTAGGGTGATTTATAGCATGTAATGTGCAAACTATATACATGGCTAATGGAGTATTTATACAGTTGGAAAAACTTAAGACAGTAACAACTGAGGTCATGGACAATTTTATGCTGAACAAATTCTTATTGTTAATTTGCTAGGTATTTGGCCCTGAAACAACACAAGAAGAGCTCTTTGAAGGCACGGTGAGGCAGCCAGTGCTAGACTTCCTAAAGGGATACAGTCGCCTTGTCTTTACTTACGGTGTTACAAATGCTGGGAAAACATACACATACCAAGGTAGAGCTGATTTTCCATGAAGATCTAGAGAAGTGTTAACTTTGTATGTTATCTGTTTACAATTTCTGTGCTCTGTGTATGCTATGGTGACAAATGCTTCAGATTATTTTTTGACAGGAATTATATATAGTATGACATATTTGTCCTTATAATCACAGAATAGGGGACTTGGAAGGGGCAGAAGGCCATCACATCCAACCCCCTGCTCATGCAGGACTCCCAAGTTAAACCATCTTGTTCAGATGGCTGCCCAGTTGCATCTTGAATGCCTCTGATATGGCCCACAACTTCCCTGGGTCATTGGTTCTGTTGTGTTATTGCTCTGACAGTCAGGATTTTTTTTCCTGATATTTAGCTGGAATCTGGCTTCCTGTAACTCGAGCCCATTATTCTATCTTTTGCACTCTGGGATGATCAAGAAGAGATTCTGTCCTTCCTCTTTGTGACAGCCTTCCAAGTATGGGTAGGGTGCTATGATATCTCTCCTCAGTCTTCTCCTCTCGCAGCTAAACATGCCCAATCTCCCTTCATAGGGCTTTGTTTCCTTTCCCTGGATCACCCTTGATGCCCTCTGAACATTTCCAGCTTGTCTTAAACTCTGGTACCCATAACTGGACACTCCAGATGAGGCCTAACCAGTGCTGAGTAAAGGGGAACTAGTACTTTACAAGATCTGGAAGTGATACTTCTATTAAAACACCTAAAATAGCATTTGCACTTTTTGAAGCCATATTACATTGTTGACTCATAATCAGCTTGGGATCTACAGCAATTCCAAGATCCTTCTCACTTGCAGTATTTCCCATCTTGTAATGATGCACTTGGTTTCTTAGGTGCAAAATTTGGTACTTGTCCCCGTTAAAATTCATTCTGTTTTTGTCAGACCAGAGTTCCAACCTATCAAGGTCACCTTGAATCTTCTTTCTGTCTTCCAAGGTATTGGCTAACCCACCCAGTTTTGTGTCATCTACAGAACTATTAATTGTTCCCTGTACTTCATTATACAAATCATTAATAAAAGCGTTGAAGAGCTCTGGGCCCAGGACTGAACCCTGTGATACCCCACTTGTTATCTCTCCCCAGTTTGAGAAGGTACCACTGATGACCACCGATTATGTAGCCAACTATGGATGCACCTGATAGTTGTTTCATCTAGGCCACTTTTAGCTAGTTTACTAAGGGACACTTTATCAAAAGCCTTGCTAAAGTAAAGATTTCCTTGTCCTGAGGATTTGATGGTAGGATACAAGCTTCGTTCATTTTCTGAACAAAGTGTCACCACAGAAATTATAAATTTACAGACATCTTGGTATTAGCACAGAGTGTTTAGATAGAGGACTCTGAGATTAGATATACCTTTTCATCCTTTACTTTAAAATGTAAAGTGCTCTTTACTTCAATTCACATTTGATGTAAGAGCATAGAACATAAAAATAACTTTCTGCACATTTTGTTTGCAATAATTATCTAAGAATAATTTTAGGATTTTAGCATTGGTTTTCATTGTAGAGATTACAGTTTCTGCCTAACAACTTTTTTGACTGGGAGCAAAAAGGAGCTGAGAAGTGAATTGGGTATTCTATACTCATGATAGTAGATGTTAAGTCCTGAAATTCCTGTTCTGCCTCATATGGGTTCTGATGAACTTTCCTACATATGTTTCTCAATGAACTGAAACCTCAGAAGTGCATTCAAACATTTGATTATTTTTCCTACGCTCCCAGTCTTAATATTGTATAATATTTACCTCATATTTTGTTCAGCACCAGTGAGACACTTTTCCCTTCAAAACATTATAACATCTGCTTCTCTTTCACAGATTTATTGTTTGTTATAAATCTAACACATTTCATGTTTCTGTTTACTTCTCTCAGTGTTTGTTATTTTGACTACTTTGCATCAAAAGCTGAACCTATTACTGTAAGCAGTCATTTTCTCAATTTTATTTGGTGCATATTTTGCTTTTTTTCCTGAGTTCAGGCTAGACACTTCACTTTTTCTAGGATTACTTTAACAGCAACAGTTTCTTGAAAAACCTCTGTTAGCATGACCGCTTCTATTAGTATTCCTTTTCACATCAAATGGGTTCGAACATCATACTGGAATGTATCTAAATTTTTCATTTGATTATCCATCAAAATCATAGCATAGTAGAGATTTACAGCTTATAAGCACTAATATGGAAGATCAATTCATAATAACTATTTTCAAGGTAGTCTATTGTATAGAGGAGTTTTGCTAGATGCAAAGGCTTTAGGAGGAAATATTGGTCACAATACAGTCTTTCACATACAGACACAGACAATTTGCCTTGAGTAGGAAATAAAAACCTGTCTTTAAAACATTAAAGAGCCCATTGTTGTCACCTCTTAATTAGGAACAGCTCTCCAGGATCTCAGTGCATCATTCCCATTGTCTGTTACCTCCTCCTTCTAATGGAAGATTCCAGGTGTTGAACTTGGGGCTGTTTGCATGCTGAGCTGTGGTCCCTCTTCAACTAAAGCATGTGACTGTGTTTCAGTTCAATAAAGGCTGCGGAAGCACACGAGTCATATGAAGTAAAATGGTCAGATTTTATCAGAGAGTTAGTATGATAACATGACACATTAGCCATATACTAAGAAACCAAGCATTCTACTATATCAGATTGCTTCTGCCTAGCCCAGCATTTCATTTCTACCTCACGAAACCATATGCCTGTATATTAGCTAGCATTAGGCAAGCTGCCACCTCTCAGGGTCATCATTGCCCTGCCATCTGAAATATTATAAAATAGAACAGAACTAGGAATCAAGAGAGCAAATGAATTTCAAGTTACTGCCCGTCAGCACTTTCTAGGCAATCAGTACAACCTTACAGCCCACCCTTCACCTGAGCTCAACAGTGTTTTGTTCATGGAACAAGCAACAGTGTGTCTGATGAATGACCTCATCATAGTTGTCCCCCCAGCTCCGTCATCTTGCAGGTATCCCAGCGACCTTGCAGCAAAACCTGTCTTGTCTCCTTGCCCTACTCCAGCAACAACGCTTTTTGTAGTTTGCATACCTTTTTTCCTTTTCAGAGATAGTTTTTCCACAACCTCTGGTGACAGCCCCTCCACATGCCCCAACAGCATGTTGGAGCAGAGATACCAGATTTCCTTTTTTTTAACACCAGAAATGTGAATTTTTAGTCAGTAATCTGGAACTGTGCAGTGTACTACTTTATCTACCCTAAATGTAATGCCTTGCTTGATCAATGTCGTTATGTCTGCCTGCTGTCAAAGCAGCTGCCATCCATGAACACTGATAAAGGGAGGTTCAAATATAATATTTTGGTTTTTTTGGCAGATGTCAAACAGCTATTATATGAAAACAAAGCAAGACTATCTCTGCTTACAAAAGTGGGTGACACATGGATCACCTCCTTTGCAGCAAGGTCCTCTTGGTTTTAAATTTGGACCTGACAGTTCTTAGTCCCCTCTGCTTTCTGCACTCTTTCCAGGGTGCTCCCATTTATGGGAGTTGGGAAAAGTAAGGGTGCATTTTAAAATGAAGTTTTGGATAGAGTTCAGCAGCATAGTTTGACAGGTATTTTAACTGCAGTGCCAGCAAATGTCTTTGCTGGCATATCAAGAGTCATAAAATACTCTTGTGTATGACTCTTCTTTTGATCAGTAAAGGCAATAATCATAAGCCTGCTTGTCTGGTTGCAACCCTATTGAACATGGTAGAACTTAACATCCAAGTAAACTTACTTTTTGTTGCTGCTGCATTTGAGGAGTATGCAAAATCCCAATAATTCTTGTGTTTACTTAACAGGCACTGATGAAGATAGTGGTATTCTCCCAAGGGCACTGGATCTGTTGTTTAAACGCATTCAGAGTAAGCTGTATCTAGAAACAGATCTCAAACCCCATCGATGCCAAGACTACAGAAGGCTGACTAAAGAAGAAACGAAGGAAGAAATGTCTGTTAAAAACTCACTGCTTCGTTCCATGAAAGAGGTGTGGCAACTTATTAATTGATTAATGGCTGTTCCGAAAGAAGCTTTAGACTTCTGCTTGTGGAGCAGCCTGGTGGGTGAGGAGAGTCTGGGTGTGTCTGTATGACTATAACAAGTTTCCTGTTGGATTACTGCAAAGGCTTAACTAGGCTGTCATTGTGTGCAAAGGGGCCTACTAGATCTCCAGCTAGAAGCGGAAGGCAATGACAATGGCACCCTCCCTCCTAGGTTCCTAGCAGTGGACATACAGAGGCTTATTTTGTATATAGCCATCATGTCTAGTAGCCATTGGTGGCCTTATACACCATGGATTTGACTAAGATTCTCCTAAAGCCATCCAAGTCAGTGGTCATCACTACAGACTGCTACCTCCTCCTCCTCCTTTTTTCCCTGTACAGCCAGCTTGAGAAGTGTGGCCAGTGCTTGAACCCAGTGATTGGCATATCCTCGTATAATGTTTTGCATGCAATCTGAAAAACAGACCCTTTTGTATGTTTAAGGGAAGCGTGCAATTCTGCAAAGCACAGTTTTGATATTCCAGCATACTGGGAAAATGCGGCCTGTAATGTGTTACAAATTAATTCTCCTGCAAGAAACAAAGACCTTGCTGGCCTTGTCGCTATTCCTTGTCTCTCTGTGAAACTAAATCAGCTTTGCCAAATCTTAGTTTAGTGACAGTGTTTCCGTCTATGCTCTGTCTTTAAAGAAATGTTTATCTTTACTTTTCAATGACAGTTGTGAAACAAATTAAAAACAATCCTAACAATAAAACTGACAATAATAAGAAACAGATTAAGACTTTCTTCCACTCTCAGGTATTTGGAAGGTTTGTATCTGGCCCTGTATTTTCTTCTTATTCATTGAGAAAAGTAGCTACGTTGGAGATTCTTGGCCTTCTTGTACCTGTAGATACATCTGGGAATTAGTGAAGCTGCTGTGGGCACAAAATGGCTCTCATAGAAGCTGTGGCTCCATCACATGATGGCTGCCATGGTGACTTGGCTAGTCAGAAGAGGTGCTGGTGGTGGGGGTAGAAATAGTGGTCCTAGATACTGTGAAGAAGAAGGGAGAAAATGGTTTTTTTTCTTTAAGTCTTTTAATAAAAACTTCTGAAGGGTCGGGGAGTAAGGAGCTTTGTGGGCACCATTAACTTCCAGGAAGCCCTGAGTTGAATATCCCTGGTCTAGGTATATAATGTATAATTGTTGAGGGGGGTTGTCTGTTTACATATCTGACAGTTTTTATACTATGCATAAAGTGTCTTTCTGGTTTTTAAGATGCAATTCATGCATTCTTGGAAAGAAAAAAAGGACAACAACTGGCATGTAGACAACTAGCATAAGATTGTGCCCTTAATCTTCATATACCAACCAACAAATTTTGGCTATTGAGCAGTATAGACATGTAGTAAATGAAAGCCATTCTTTAGAGCAACATACAAACATGTCTTGCTAGTCTCATCTTGCTCTGCGACCATTCCTTGTGTAGAAAGGGGAAACAGATTCATTCTACTCGGCCCTGTCCTAATGGCCTTACCACTTACATGTACAGACTCCTCCATGTGGTAGAACACTTTGGTTCCTGATCACTAAGGTTTATACTATTCCTTTGATGTTAAGCATGTGGGTAAGTGGTGGGACCTCTGCAGTAGCCCTGCTGCAACAATGAATCCTTCCAAAAACTCAAAACATCTCTAAAAACATGGATGAGGACAAACTATTGTTTGCGGGGCTTTCGTTTACAGCATGAATCCATGTGATTAGGACCCATGGCTGTAGCCCTGATCAGCAGGAAGAAGGAGTAGGGAAATAGCTTGAGTATGTTATTGTATCCCAGGTTCCAGGCAAGGAAGAACTATGCACACAGAACACACACATTGTTTATTTGCTCTGGATAGGATTCTAATAGCAGACACTCTAGGATGACAGTTGTGCAGAGAGTTACTGCAATATTATAATTTGATCCTATGATTTGTCTTCTTGCCTAATATATGGAATGCATCTTTTTCTTCCTCTTCTAATCCCTGCTGCAGTTTGAACCGCTGTCAGCAGGGCTTTTGCTAAAGCTCATTGTCATTCCTAAGAATAATGTAGGATTCAACATCTTTTCAAACATGGTGCTCTCTTGAAATTGCACCTCCTATTGGCTAGGCTGGCTGTGACTGATGGGAATTCTTATCCAGAACTTCTGGAGGACAGCATGTCAGTGAAGGCTGGACATGGAGATAGGCTAGGACTGTTTTCAAGCCATCAGTAAAGTGATGGGCTATATCCCTGGATGAAGCCAAGCAGGATGATCATATCCACTGAAATGCCTTCTTTCTTCCATCTTTTATAGATTCATCCTTACCTTATGTGCTACTATTTATTTTATATTTTATTTATTTATTGATGGATTTATATCCTGCCTTTTTCCTACCTGCCTTTTCCTCAAGGCAGCTTACATCTTCTCTGCCATCTTATCCCCACAGCAACAACCCTGTGAGGTAGCTTGGGCTGAGAGTCTGTGACTGGCCCAAAGTCACCCACTTGGCTCCATGGCTGAGCGGGGACTAGAACCCAGATCGTCTGAGTCCCAGTCCAATGCTTTTAACCACTACACCACACTGGCTCTTAACCACTACACCACTTATATCCCACCTTTCTCCCATTGTGGCTACATGCAGTTTTCAGATGGTCTCCTCTCAAGCTCAGGCTGGCCCAAGGCCTGCTTAGCTTCAACATGGTGAATGCCTTAGGTGCCTTCAGACCAGAGAGCCAGTGTGATGTGGTGGTTAAAGTGTTGGACTAGGGACTTAGGAGATCCAAGTTCTATCCCCTACTCATCCATGAAGCTCACTGGCTGACTTTGGGCCAGTCACTCACTTTCAGCCCAGCCTAGCTCATAGGGTTGTTGTTGTGAAGATGCAATGGAGCTATGCACACTGCCTTGGATTCCTTGCAAGAGGGAAACAGGCCTGATATAAATGCAGTGTATATACATTCATTCATTATACATTCAATAATGATCCCAGATTTTCCAAGAAAGGTCACAAGTGGGATGTAATTAAGAGCTACTGCCTACCTTGTTAATAGACAGTATGCCAAGGATTGCCTTTTCACTCTACATACTCAAGCAGGTGGAAAACGGCTGCTTCTAAGAGAGCTATTCCTAGGCTGTTGCTGCTTTCTTCCTAGGCCCATCAATCCATGTATTTTTGAAATATTTTATGACTATCAAAAGTGTTGTAGCCCAAGCCAGTGTAGGGTGCCATGAAGGCTCTGTTTGGGACATGAATAAGAATAAGAAGCCCATTTTATCAGGGGCATGAAGAAGATGGAATTATTCTGATCTAAAAGGCCAAACATTGCAAGAAACAACCGTAGATGGATCCCATTACTATGTAAAAGACACCAAAATATAAGAGCCAATCTAAGTGAGTAGTCCCATCTCCTAAGTAAGGGCCACCAGTAGTAATGTCTAGCACAGCACAATGACAGGAACACCTAAAGCTTGGGTAACAATTTTGAATTGTAAAAAACAAATCAGACAAACCCCCCTCCACTCTCTGAAGCAGAAATTTCAAGCTTCAGGTTTGCTAACTAGTTAGGAACACCTATTGATAAATAATGGTTATACTGCAGCAGAATGCCCTAAAATAGAAATATTTTTCCATTGACTTCTGAAAGTTAGTATTTTTAATATTACTTAGGCAATCACTTTTACGTAGACTCCTGTGAAATTACTGCAGTTGCTACATACATGGCAATATGCAAATGAGTGCATTTATGGCAACCTGTCGGACTCCTGTCCTTGGCTACCAAGATGACACTGCCTAGTCCTTTCTTATTGCCACTCTTTGATGAGAGATAAGATTTAAGCAAGGGAGGTCCCAGGTCCTTTTTCCATGTGTATGAGGATATGGCTTTTGCAGATAGAAAGGTTGTGCACACCTCTGCTATTGTGTCCTAATTTTTCTAATACTATAATATGAATGCTTGTGATGCTTTGTTCCTCTTAATTTTCAGGTAGATTACCCAAGTGACATTACTAGGAATCACAGCAGAAATATTGATCCTTCTGAAGGTAAGTTGTCTGTCTGAAAGAGCAAAATGTTAAGCTGCATCAGTACCATGTGAATGAGTGAACTAGTATGCTAAGGCAGACTCTCTCTGATATTTCAAATCTGTGCTTTTTCAATCTGGGCTCTTCCACTGCAAAAAGAGCTATCAAGCAACACCGTTGTACACTGCAGTGTCACATACAGCTAATTTCAGTAAAATACTAACGTAACTCCAATGTTCTGCCAGGGCTGGAGGAACCCATACAAGAAGCCGAACAATCTAGCATGGATGAGGAGAGAGGTGTAAAATTCTCTATCTGGGTTTCATTTTGTGAAATTTACAATGAGTCTATTTATGACCTGTTGCTCCCAGTATCCAGCGACAAGAAAAGGAAGGTGCTGCGCCTCGCACAGGATATAAAGGGCTGTTCATATGTAAAAGGTAATGGACATCTTGATCAGTGACCACATTTTTCATAGACCTAAAATGCTATGTGCAACCAATAGGAAGTAGATTTTCTTTAACTAGAATCCAATTTATCCTTGGGATGCAAAGAAAGAATTTGCATTTCTTTCCCTGCCCCCACTCCCCATCCATCCCACTAAGTACTTCTTGGATTAGCTTAGGTCATGCATACACATGTGCACACATGTATGAATAAATGTAAAAGTACAGAGCAGTGTTATAATATGTGCCAGATACAAGACATATCAGGATTTCCTGGTAGATCTCCTGGTGATATGCAGTAGATCAGCAAGAGCTGCCAATAATGTAAATCACTGTTACTAAAATTGTGCAATTGAACTACGTTATTGTCAGTACAATTTCAGTCCTCACCCCCTTTCTGCAGTGGCTCAACCTGTACTTCCTGCTTAGAAACTTCAGTGTTCCTTTCTGTCAAATACAAACAGGAGGTTCATAATTGGTTTCCTTTGATCAGGTCTGGCTGCTGGTTTTTCATTTAAATCCCTGATCTAAGCACGCACGTGCACATGCAGGCAGGCTGTTCCAGCGTATGGTTTCTGGGACACAACATTTTTGTGTTAGACGGCAGTTGGTGTATCTTGATGTTCTAGCAGAAATGCTACATAGATCCCACAAAGTAGAAGTGTGCCTACCCCAATAGGCAGTGCACAAGCTAGAGACTATACAAAATTAAAGGCATGCAATATTAGTGACAAGGCTGTAATCCCATATACACTTATCTGGGAGTATGGACACATTGTTTCTGAACAGATATGCCTAAGGGGGTGCTGCAAAAGATATTAGAAATGTTTTGAAAAGAATACAAACTGAAATATTAAAAAAGAGATAGATGACTATACTGCCCAGATTGTAAGCTACCCAGAGACTCCATTAGGAACAGTGGGTGGCATATAAATGCAAAAATAAATACATACATAAACACTCCATGACTGTATTTTACTCTACTTGGGTCTTTTTTGTTGTCAGTAGAGCTAATCTTGTTTCAATACTTCCTGAGTCTCTTAAACTGGGTAAAGTGACCTTACCTCAATATCTTGGGCTTTTAAGAATCTAAACTTTCAAGACTTCTTTCTGTCTGAAAGCACATGAGATTATACTCTTAAGTAAACATTTTCTGAAAAGCTTTTCTGTCATCGAAGGAATGCTGTGATCAACTATGCATTTCTTAACTGAAGCTCATTCTATATTACTGCATTTTAAGTTTCACTCAGTCTGCTTTATGAAGATAAGGCTGTGAAAGACAGTTGTGCAGATTTGGATGCATTTTACCTACATCCCCAGGCAGTCTACATGTATTACTTGGGCATGTAGATTGTCTTGCTGGGCAGAGAAGCATGACATGAGCTTCTTTTCCTTCTTCTCTTTCTTATAAATATCCCCAAGGAGCAGGTCTTATTCTCGGCAGCTTTCTGCCATGAAAAAAGGCAATGAACTGGCTGAGGGGGTAGATGTGATTTTGAGGACTATTCTTGTCACTTCAGGGGGTGCCCTTTTGGAATTCCTAAAGTAAATGCCCATAATACTCTCCCTTCCATCAAGTTTCTTGACTGTATGTATATATAACATTTTTGTTTTTTCAATAATTATTGAAGTAACTGTTGTTCCTTAAAGATCTGCAATGGATTCATGTTTCACAATTTAAAGAAGCTTTTAAACTCATGAAACTAGGCTTGAAGCATCAGAGTTTCGCTTCAACAAAACTGAATGCCAACTCCAGTAGAAGGTAATAAATAGTTCGTGTTTAATCTGAGTTCGCATTATGGTTTGCTTTCTATATTGTTTAGAAAGCTTATCCAAGCCAAATGTAAAGATTCCTGTCCCTTTCTAGCACATGCATGCATCTTAAAAATAGCAGTTCAGATGTTCTGAACTTGTTCAAAGATTCTACTGCATTTTGGGAGCTTCTACTATCAGCCTTCTGTAACATTTTAGACAATTATAAATGATTAATAGATAAGGACCCATTAGCTGCATTCAGACAGCACACCAAGCCGTGCTTTGCTGAAATGTGAGCGAGCCCAGGCTCCTCCGTGCTCACATATTGCTCACTCCTCCTCTGGTATGGATGAGCAGAGCAGTTTGAATGTTTCCACCGGTGCTTCCAATTAACTATCGCTTGCTGTGTCACCCAAACAAGCAAACTGAGGTTTGTGCTAATTATGGGTGAGTTTCAACAAGGCACCTTCAAGCTGTCCTTTTACTACAGCTGGCTTCTTTGCATGAACCATAGCTGAGGCATGCTTCAGTTCTCACTCTGGATGGCACTGCAATCTGTGATTAATCAAAAGAGAAATCCTTTGCACTCTGCCGCGTGGGAGAAAAGAAGGGCTGCATGCAAGGCCAGAGGAAATCTAGGGTAGCGACTAGGACCATTTTCTAGCAAAAAAAACTTTCAATGGATATGGAACCCATTCTGACTGATACAAGGAAGAGTTGGCCAGTGGACCCAGAGATCAGGTTGGTGGTAGTTGAGACTCATACAGCTCAGACAATGTGGGAAGAAAAACGTGAGGCCACTGAGGAGGAGGAGGGCAGGTCAGCCATCACTAATCCAAGCATCCAGCATCAACTAAAATGGGCAGATCTGCTGAGGGGTGTCAGATGCTTTAAATGATTGGCCTTAGTGGATTGGATTGGCCTTAAAGTTGGGTGGGAGTACTTTGAGTTTGTAGGGGAGTGCAGGTATTGAGTTGAGAATCAACTTCTCACGAATGGGTTAAACTTGCTTACTGGCTAGGATTTAGTTATTGGATTTTGCAATACACTTCACTTAATGCAGGTCTCGGTTAGTAACCCATTGTCTGGGTCTGCTGCAAAGGAAAGCTAAACTCATTCACATCTTGCTCAGTATATATCATGGTATCCAAACACAGCCTGTGTACCCTTTACTGTTAAACACTTGGTTAATGGGGCAGTGAAGAAGCATGAATGAGAAGCATAGACTCTGTTAAACTGCAACTCCCATCAGTCTTAGCCAGCATAGCTTATAGTGGTGGGGTGATGAAAGCTGCCATCCAACAAAATCTGGAGGACCCTACGCTCCCTGTCCCATTCCTTCAGTTGGCATAAATACTTCTTGACCCCTGTTTATTAGCTAGAATTAAACTGATTGAAGCATAGTTGGGAACTGTAGCAGTATCTCAAGGATTAAACATCTTTAAAAGTTTTCTTTAAAATATAGTGTTTGAAGGTTGTGATACTAAAAGTTACTTCCTTTTGTTTTCTTTTTTCAGCCACAGCATATTCACTGTGAAAATGCTAAAAATTGATTCTGGAGCAACACGTGTGATGCGAGTCAATGAGTGAGTGATCTTGGTGCTGAAGTAAATCATCTTAAGTGTCTTGAATGTTTGAACATGGGACAACCTGAATGGTCTACTCTCTTTCTGTGGATTTTTTAACTTCCAGATTATTTCTCTGTGATCTTGCTGGCTCAGAGCGTTGTACCAGAACTCACAATGAAGGAGAAAGACTGAAAGAGAGTGGGAATATCAACACTTCATTGCTCATTCTGGGCAAATGCATCAGTGCCCTCAAGACCAGCCAGCAGTCAAAGTAGGTTCTAGAAGAGTCTTTAGGTATCTGTCAATCATTTATGGCTTGTTCTTTGTGATGGAGAAAAAGAGCAGGAAAAGCCCCAACTGGGAAGAAGATGTGTGCATAGTTCGGGTGCAGACTGCTGTTGAGTTTTTTGTCACTTAGCTACTGGAGAGAAATTTCATTTCTTAACGTGAAATATCCCAACTGTGCACTTTCCAGTAGAACACAGATAGCTTAAGAGTCAGCCCCGCTGTTCTTCTGCTTGCCACCTCATCATCCCCATACAGTAGGGATAATAGCAAACAGAAGGAACGCAAAAAGATGGCATCCTGCCAAGGACCAGAAGATGCCTTATCCAGATGCTCTCTTAAGCATCCGTGCAGCCTTTCTTTCAAGTGTTGCTTGAGGTTTCTTTTATGTGAAACATAAGGCTTTCAGTTTTTTTGGCCAGGCATATCCTTATGATAGGTGGTGTTGTGATGCTCTTGATCAATTGTTAAAATCAGCTATACAATTTACAAGCAATTTACAATTTATTACAAGAATAATATAATATGTGGCTCTTTTCTTTTTGAAATACAGATCCAAAGTATACAAAGCTTGCTGATAGCACACCTCTTTTAATAATGGAAGGCTATTTCAAGCTTGCTGCATAGCCACAGCTTGTAAAGTATTTTATCCAGGGCTTTTTTTTTGTCATAGAACACACCGGAACGGCGTTCTGGCACCTTTTTTTCCAATGGATTTTACGAAGTGATTTTGAACAGCAGATCAGCAGCAAACATCATTAACATAGTGCCTGCAGGCTGCTATTGTGTCTGCTATCTGATAGTGAGATAGTGAGGGCTCTGCTCAGCTTGGGATTGGTGTGTGTGGTTGCACGCTGAGTGCTTACTGCTGGAGGGGCGACGTGAGTTCCGGCACCTTTTTTTTTTTTTTTTTACAAAAAAAGCACTGATTTTATCCATTAAAATTATTTTTAAATATTTTAGACTGCAATCTTATGGTTGTTTAGACGGTCAAAAGGTCTTACAATTTCCAGCATTCTCCAGGCAGTATGGCAGGCTGGTGAGAGCTGAGAATTTTTAGATTCCACCCCCCACCCCCACCCCGTATCTGTAAGCATCTGTAGGTTTCAGCCAAAAATATTTATGACTTCTTGCAATATGGTTTTAATCTTATACTTGATGGAGTGTATTCTATTCTGAACTGATATATTTCTTAGTTTTATATTGGTTTTTATTGCAGTATAATATTCTAAGTCTAGAGAAATATATTTGAGGCATTAGATATATTTAATTGTTCCCATGGAAATCCATAGTGTTATGAATTGAGACCCACATCTATAAACATATGGGGAATCCATAAACTTTCAGGGAACAGCAGCATCGCTTATGTGTCCTTGCCATTTGTCTCCATGTCTTTGCAGTCACATGAGTTGCTTTCAACTGTTTGTTCCGTTGGGAGGCAGGAGGCAAGTAACAAACCTGAATGGGGCCCATGCTTGTTTTGATCTCTGTGCTAATCTTGGTGTAAAAAGCTAGCAGCTGTTGTGAATGGTGTTACCTGCTTGGAAACATGCTGTGTTCCTTTTGTTCCATCCCAGGTTGCAGCAGCACATCCCCTTCCGCGAGAGTAAGCTAACTCACTTCTTTCAAGGCTTCTTCAATGGGAAAGGGAAGGTGTGTATGATAGTGAACGTCAACCAGGGTGCCTCCTCATATGATGAAACCCTCAATGTGCTCGGGTTTTCTGCCATTGCTCAAAAAGTAAGTGCATTTAGATGTTTTACTAGCTGGAAATAAAGTAGCAGGTTTCTAGGCTCATCAGGTCATCCAAAAACTACAGACTTGCCAGTGGCTGTGGACCAAGTTATTGACCTCTGCCCTGGCAGTGCCCCAAGTGGCCTAATTAAGACGTTGGAGTGAGCAGAATGTAGTAAATTCTGCAGGAGCTCCATTGGGTTTCCACACACATAAGTATGCATCGGATGACAGCCTCTGTCTTGGAATATTAACACATGGTCAGATGGCTTTTCACTTATGCTGTCTTAAATTCTTGAGTGCAAATTGGAATGCTTTACATGCTGATCCTTGAGAAAACTGCAGTTTCATTCTTGGAATTACTGTAAGGAGAATTAATGAGGGCAGGGAGAAGATTTGCAGTTAATGTTAGGATTAATTCAGAGAAGTAGTAGTAGTACAGGGTATAGCAGGGGAGGAGAAATGAAATTAACCTCCTATTTACAAGAGCTGATGCATGAAAAAACATCCTTGGCTCCTGCTTATACAATTATGTTTATACTCTTTATTTAGAAATGGCATTTAAGGCAGCTTACAATTATAAAGCTAACTTGATTACAATAATAATAAAATAAAAGTAATTAAGACATAATTGCAGACTTAATGAGTACTGAATAAAAATACTGTCCAGTGGGCATGCTTGAATAAAAAGATCTTTGCTTGCTCCTGAAAGGATAGCAGAGAGGAAGCAAGCATTCCTCCAATTGGTAGTTGCCACTGAGAAGGCCCTCTTCTTTTCTCTAAGCAAATAAAGAAAGCAAAATAGCTTACAATTTAAATCAATTATACATAAGAAGAAAATTGAAGACCTTGAATTAAATAAGACTTTAAAAGCCACTTCAAAAAACTTTAAAAGCAAGCAACCAAATGTTCCTACTTTTAAATAATGCGAAGATATTTTTAAAAGTTTCAATCTGCCTGTCCTCTAAATGTAGCAAATACAGATAACTCAGGTAATACTAACACAAGCAATTTATTCTGTACTTGTTTGCTGTATTTACAACTTGTGTTTTCTGCAGTTTATAAATGTGTATCCCTATTAAAAATTGCCTAACCCATCATGTCCTTTTGATCTATTTACATTTTTGATTATTACATTTATGTCCGGCCTTTTTTCCCTTGTGCAAGTGACACACAATGGTTTATATACAACTTATTTATATGCATACAACAACACTGTGAGGTACATGACTGGCTCAGAGTCACTCAGTAAGCTTCATGGCCAAGAGAGGACTAGAACCCAGATCTGCCAAGTTCCAGTCTAAGACTCCAATAGATTTATATCATCTGTTGATGCTCAAGTCCTGGGGTGAACTCTGGCACTCTGGGGGTTACACAGAGGACCATGCCCTGTTTCTTTTCCCTCCAACAACATATCATTTGGTAGTTTTTGCATAGTATTTATCTTCAATCTGAAAAGCTGGAATGCTTCTCCTAAGCTTAGTTACAGGCAGCAAGCACTTGAAGCTAAAATATGCTGTATCTTTGGGTTCTCCCATTTTTTCCTCTGGTTCTGCCCACCACTGAAATGTAGCCTGCAGGAGCTTCTCTGAGTGAAAAGCGACCTTCTGGCTGAAACAGTTTCCCTACACATGATACAGCAGAAAAATTATTATGAATATATAATTTCATAATAAACTATATATAATTAATCTTGAGTTTTGCTAGAAGAAAATGGGGGATTGCCTGATTTTTTAACAAATAGTGGGGATTTTATTTGATAGGGATGTCCCATAAGTAGTTAAATGGGACTATTCAACAATGGCTTTTAATGTGTTGCTGACTTCTTTCCTAAATAGGTCATGGTCCTAGACTCTTCTAGTACTCCTCAAGAAGAGCCCTTTGACTTGTATATCAAAGCAGAATCAGAAATGAACAGTGGTTCTTTACACATTCAAAGAGACACTATACTTTGGGAAAGGACACTGGAAGATGTGGTAGAAGAAGAAGAACTAGTGGAAGATGGAAGTGGGGTACATGAAGCAAACTGTGTTGGAGAAAATACAGCTGCAAAGGAGCATGAGCCTGAGATGATACGAAAAACACCAGACTATGTGGAATATGAAGAAGATTACATCATCGTGAGAAAAAAAGAGTATCAGGTATGTCAGAGGTATAGTTATGTTGGCTTATAGTAGCAAAAAGGCAGAATGCTTGAACATCTAGTTTGGCTTGTTCTGTGTAATTATAGTCCAACTTCCTAGGATAACTCTTACTCAAACTTTTTCACAAATGTTGGGTTGCATCCAATAGTTTTGCCTGCAGAAGGGAAATAGATTTCACCTACCCCATACAACCTCCTGTATTCCCCCCAGATCTCGGAATATTTGACGAAGATTTGTAGACTAGATAGGGGCTGTGGAAAGTTGCAGTGGATGGGAAAGCTGACTTCAAGCCACATAACCTCACAAATGCGCTGGACTGATCTGATGGCTTTTCCTGTGTTCCTATGTACTAAGACCTGTGAGAGCAGCTGCCAATTTGAGATCACTCTCAGCTAGCATTCTTTCAGGCAAAGGAGAAAGACTTGACAGGGACCTGGGATGGGGCAGGTACATACTTTGGACCTTTTTCATTCAAATTAATGTGCTCTACTCTGTTACTTGGCTTGATGGTCTGTAATTCTGTATACATAGGGATTGGGCCCCACACACCTGCAAACTTGGGAACCAAATTGGAAGGGGAAGGGAAAGATGCTGCCAAGCTGTCAAGGATACAGGAACTAGAGATAGAAGGAAGAGGGAAAGGGAGGAGGCCATTCAACTGCAGTCTCATTTTTCAGATGGAAGCCAAGCAGGGCCTTCAGAAACCCTGGGAATAGAGGGTTCCAATAAAAAAGAGAGAGGGACTGGTAATCAGAGATCTGAAGGTTAGGTTTCAGATTTTTAAAAAAGAGGGATGCAATGCAATATAACATGATTCAAGAGCCTGGCAGCCAGGGAGACCTCCCTGTGGAAAGATCTACCTTAAGAGCAGGGCTTAGCTTTCTTTCATGATGCTATAACTTAAGAAACTAATGAGAGCCTAGTGGTCCTATACTACTCAAAGCTCATATGGAACATTTGTCTCCATTGACTAGCTTGTCTGTAAGTTCTGCATAATAAAGCTACTTGGCTGGATTTATTACTTCTCAGCTGGGCTGCAGAAGGAGCCAGTGGCAGGGACCCACAATACAATAGACATCTGCACAGTTTTCATTTTCCCATCCAGTCTTTCTTCCACCGCACAGAAATGTGAACTGAGGTGGAGGTTGTAAAGCATGTCTATCAGAAGGCAGGGAAGGCCAGAGGCCATTGTCCATAAGTATCATGTTTAAAAGGTTCTTGGTTGATTTTGACTTGAGTTAAATATCTGGTGTTCTGAGTTAAATAAAACAAAATAAAATATGTTTTATTTATCTAAAACAGGGGTATGACTTCAGGCTTGTGAGCCAAATCTGGCCTGCCTGGGGTCCCAGCCTGATCCTCTGGGTTTACCCTGATGGCTATGCCCCTGTCTCCTGGTCCTGCCTTCTTTCCTCAATCTCTGCCAGTCCCCTAATTGTGTTTTACTGGCTGTTGAACCTCTTAAAACCTATTTTAAAAGAGTGAACTGCCTCTCCTAGCTAAACCATGCTGATATATTTGGCATGTCAGTCCCACCTGCTAATGGAATGTGGTCCCCGAAAGCTTTTCTAAAATTCAGCCTTCAGATTGAAAGAGGTTTCTCGCCACTGCTTTAAATTGTAATCAATGCAATGGCAGAGACAAGAGCCTGGATTCACTAGCCCTCCTAACTTGGCAATCTATTTCCAGTGCTTCTGTTTCTGCATACACCATTGTATATATTCACAGTTACCTTACTGATCACCAAAGTTTATCTGTTTGCATGCTTGTTCTTGTGGCCAAAAGAATAAGATGTAGTATGCTTTAGGAATGATTGACAGAAGTCCACAAATTTACTTAATGTGCTGCAGCAATGAATGCTTAATGTCTCCCATGCATTGTCTCTTCCTTGTTCTCACACTTAGCACCAGCTTGGTATAATAGAAGACCTGAAAAACAAGTTGATTGAAGAAAGGAAAGATAAGCTATTTATGGAGCTAAGAATCCGTGAAGAAGTCACACAGGAGTGTGCTCTGTATCTTGCTGAGAAAGATAGTGAACTCAAGTAAGTTTCGCAGGATCCATATTGAATGTTTGTTCATGTCCAACTTTAGTAACCATCTACGCCAAAGCCATATCAGCAGTGTTTTTTTTTTTGTTTTTTTGTAAAAGGTGCACATGGGAATGAAGGCAAACCTAATGTGCATGCGTTCTTAGTATGTAAGCATGAAAGCTTTTGTGTTGCCTGCTGGCGGTAACTGGTGAAATGTCCCAGTGCAGACTTAACTCATTTATGGTGCAATATGGACCTTCTAAAACAAAGCCCTTTCAAAAAACACATTTCTGTTCCTCTGCCCCCAGCTACATCCATGCCAAAAACTAGATGAAATTAGACTGGGGACATGTTCCTTCCATGAGACCCCTGGTCATAAGAGAACCTTCCCTAATTGGATGCCTTTGACACATTGTAGTGCATTGCACTACAATTCACAACATGCCTCAGCTAGCAATGAAGTTGGGCAAATCTGGAGGGTGCCAGTCTGGAAAAGGTTGTCATAAGATGATGGTTGCCTTGGGACATCTTATTTTATTTTCAGTGCAAAGTTTTCCTGATCCTAGTAAATATTTACTCCGTGCTCCACTATGTGCTAAGTGGCATTTCAAGCAGCTTCTAGTTAGACTTGCATAGGTAGGGCAGACAAAATCTTGGTTGTATGTAAACTGGTTGCATCTTGCATTTAACTGTTTTAAAGGAGCTGGTTAGCACAAGGAGCACAGTGTAGAGATCTTTCTTCAGGAAGAATGCCCGGCGTATGGGCCAATTTGCATGTCACAGTGAACCAGGGTTCAGAGCAGCTTTAGCTCACTGGGATTAATCAGTTCCTGTTTAGATTTCCCTCCATGGGAGGGGCTAAACCAAGGGTGTGGTAATGTGTGGTCCCTCCTACCCACCATTTTTTAAGTAAAAGAGAAAAAAAACATCTGTAGCAATTTTAAAAAATCCTTTCTATCGCTGCTATGGAGCACCAAAAGTGCTAAATTTAGCTTTTGATCCTTCTTGTGCTCTTTAGTTACACCAAGGCAGGGGGATCATATGGTGCTCCTCAATTACAGGCACTATTTAAAGCCTACCTCTTTACCTGAAGGAGGAACAAATTACCCGCTGGTCCACATTCCCTTTATCACCTTTTCAGATCTTCTGAATTGGCAACATCATATGCCCCATCTGTAAGATGACCCTGAAACAGTCTGCTGTTTCTTCTTTCTTTTTTCCACTCATTGTCCAACTTGGGCAGATGTCATTCAATGAAGAATCTTCTTTACAGATGAAGAAAAGTGGTGTGTAGAAACGGGTTTTCCTATGTGCCTGAGGAGATTCACAAATATGCCCAGGATAACCAGACTCAGATAAATCAGAACTGACAAGATTTGGAGGCTCCTGTTTCGGTCATTTTAGTAGATGCCACCAGCTCAAGGAAAATGGGACTTGCTAGTTATGGTAATCAATTGACAGGATGGATGAAAGCTAACCTACCAAATGAGCTACAGCCACCCAGGTGGCCAAAATTTAGTTAAATGACATCTTACCCTGGTATGGGTCTTCAGAAGTAATTGATTCAGAAAATATTGATGGCCTTGCATATAATCCAAACCCTATTGAACTCCAGACTCTAATTGTCCCTATATGCACTTATGTATGGACACATTCTCCCATGTGGCTTTATTTCTTCTAAGTACTGAAAAGAACCTCTCAGTTTATGTGATGGCTTTGCAGAAACACTTGAGTTCTCTCCACAGATACTCTGATTACCACCTGCCACTGTCTTTTTGGGAATCGGAGTGCACTTTCAAGCTAGGAAATCAAGTCTGATTAAGAAGTATAAGAAAATGCTCCTTGAACCAGTTTGGGAAGGCCCATGTCAAGTGTCAGGACAATGTGTAATCCTGGATTCTTCACTCAGGGCTGAAGAATGCTATAAGAGAAGCAGGCTGTATCCAGAGCACAGGTTCCCCAGAAGTAGACAATAACAGACCTTGGGGTAGTACTGCAGGGAACCTACTGCAATGGGGTCTCCAGACTAACACAGACTGGCCTGTGTCAGCTATAGGCCCTCTAAAACTTAAGTTCAAAAGAAGGGCACAACTCCATCTGATCAAGGCAATTGGGCAGCCCTGATGCTGTTTATTCTGCGTATATACCATTTTATTGGCTGTTATTCTAAAATTAAAAAATGAGATTACTGAGATTGTTTGTAGCAATGGAGAGTTCTCTGTATTAATACCCAGTAAACTAACTGTGAATGTAGAAAGCCAGCAGGAGTGTGGTGCTATCCAGTGTATTGCACTGACTGCCACATGTATGAGTATCTGCCAGCTGGACAGAAGTAATGGGTATGCCAGGTGTAATAAGCTCTTGGCATTCAGGGAACATATTTGTTCCTTGGAAGCCAAGGTTGCTAACCTGGAGAAGGAAAGAGAGGTAGACAGGATGGATAAAGACACCCCTGGGGGCCAATTTGCAGGGTCTGAACTCTTGGGTGAAAGCCCTTTGATGGTAATGGAGAAATGGGTTCTTGGAGGAGTCATTCTGAGGAGGAGGGAAATGGAAGGTAAGCAAATATCCTCTCTCACTGAGGATATGCACCCAGGAGGTGGAGAGACTTCTGGTAGTGGGAAATTTGATCATTAGGAAAATAGCTAGGCTTACCATGGGAGCGTAGACCACCCGGTGAGTTTCCTGCCTGGTATGAAGGCTGTGGATATCACAGACAGTCTAGACAGCCTTGTGTGGGAGTAGCGTCGGTGTTTGTCATCCATGTTGGTACCAGTGATGTGGAGAAATATCATGAGGTCCTAGAAGCCAAGTTTAGGTAACTAGGTAGAAGGTTGAAATTCAGGACCTCAAGGTGGCTTTCTCCAAAATGCTACAAGGTCCACATGCAGGGCCAGCTAGAGAGACACAGCTGAGGAGCCTCAGCACATGGGTGAGAGGTGTTGTAGAGGGGAGGTTTCAGATTTGGTAAGCTCTGGGGAACCTATTGAGCCAAGCTGCAACTGTCTGGGAGAGATGGGCTCCACTTGAGCCAGGCTACTGCCACCTAACATGAAACGGGTGACAGAGCAGCTTTTATAATGAATCCTGGGGGAAAGCTGACCGGAGCTGGGCAGTGTCTGATTCAGGTCAAATCATCCCTAGAAAGGAAGTTTCTGATTGCCGAAATGTAGGAGCGGAGAAGATAGGCAACAAGGTTACAGTATGACATGATAACTAGCTGGGGAGGGCTGAGTGCCAGAACAAAAGTTGTGTGTGTCTGGAGAGGGATGCTGTGTTTCCGCATAAATGCTAGAGGCCTTAGGGCCAAAATGGTAGAGCTGGAGTACATGGTGATAAAGGGGGAGCTAGCTATAGTGTGTATTGTGGGAAAATGGTGGAGCGGAGATAGAAACTGTACAGGAGGGACAGAGAAGGGAGGGGGTGTTGCCTTCTATTGTAAGGAGGGCATACTGTCCAGCAGGCTTGATAACCTAAAGTGTGAAGACTCCCCCACAGAAGCACCATGAGTAAAAATTCCTGGTTCCAAAACTAACTTAGTCATAGGAGTATGCTGCGGTTTTCCAGACCAGAATACTCAGAATACTTGAAATGAGGAATGAAATCAGGGAGGCCTCCAACACAGGCAGTGCTGTAATAATGAGTGATGCACACACTAACTAGATAAATGTATGGTGCAGTTATGACAGAGGTTAAATTTCTTGATTTCCCTATTGACTGTGCCCTAATGCAATCGGTTGTGGAGGCAATCTTGGGTTCTGTCCTAGCTTGGGTTGCCCAGGAAATAACACAGGAAGAAAATGTTGTTGAGCCAATAGAAAACAATTACCATGGCGATATCAGATTTAATATATAGTTAGGTAGGAGAAAGGTGGGAAGAACTTTAGTATAAAAGTTGCAGCCTCACTGTGTTCGAGGCTTCTTACTGCAAGTGCTTGTTGTAGTAAAGTCTTGTTATAGAAGTCGCTGGTGTTGCCAGTGCCTCAGTCAGAAAAGAAACTGGATTCCAGATTCTGTGACATCATGGTATGTAAACAAAGCCCTATCTTATTTCTGTCACTTGTTATTGATCATCAGGATGATTGTTAACCAAAGGGAAGAAATGATGGAGGAGAGCTGTGAAGAGCGTATGCAGATTTTCAAGGAGCTGGTCAAAGAATGTATCGCTCATGGCAGAAAAGGAACAGAAGAGACTCAGGAGACACAATCCAGTCAGCTGGATGGAATGCAGGTAAATCTGACTGACTTTTATCCTCTAGAAGTGTATTTCAGAGCCAGTGTGGCATAGGAGGAGCAGTGATCCAGGCTCCATTCCCTGCTCATCCATGAAGCTCACTGGTTAACTTTGGCCAATCACTCACTCTCAGTTGAACCTACCTCACATGCTTGTTGTAATGAGTATAAAAGCAGTGCAAGAAGACTATATAAACTGCCTTGGGTCCCTCATAAGAGGAAAAAAATAGGTTATAAATCTAACATAATAATAAAATAAGTAGTTTAGGGGTAATTCTATTTCAGGAATGGAACAGCCAAATTCCAGTGGTGGATTGGGTTGAAAGTGAAACAGGTGGGGTCTGAATACTGGCATACGGTATCTTAAAGCTGTTGTGGTAATAACTAAGTCATAGCAAATGCTATGCAGCCTTTTGTTGTTGTTAGTCACGAAGTCGTGTCCGACCCATCGCAACCCCATGGACAACATTCCTCCAGGCCTTCCTGTCCTCCACCATCCCCTGGAGTCCACTTAAGCTCACACCAACGGCTTCAGTGACTCCATATAGCCACCTCATCCTCTGCTGTCCCCTTCTTCTTTTGCCATCTATTGTTCCCAACATTCGACTCTTCTCCAGGGAGTCTTTCCTTCTCATTAGGTGGCCAAAGTATTTGAGTTTCATCTTCAGGATCTGGCCTTCTAAAGAGCAGTCAGGGTTGATCTCCTCTAGGACTGACTGGTTTGGTCGCCTTGCTGTCCAAGGGACTTGCAGGAGTCTCCTCCAGCACCACAATTCAAAGGCCTCAATCCTTCGGCGCTCAGCCTTCCTTATGGTCCAGCTTTCACAGCCATACATTGCAACTGGGAAAACCATAGCCTTACTATACGCACTTTTGTTGGCAAGGTGATGTCTCTGCTTTTTAGTCTGCTGTCTAGATTTGCCATAGCTTTCCTCCCCAGGAGCAAGCGTCTTTTAATTTCTGAGCTGCAGTCCCTGTCTGTGGTGATCTTGGAGCCCAGGAAAATAAAATCTGTCACTACCTCCTTTTCTTCCCCATCTATTTGCCAGGAAGTGAGAGGACTGGATGCCATGATGGTCTGGGACTCCCATTTCTTTAAGAACTTGCCACAATTTGTTGTGATCCACACAATCAAAGGCTTTAGCATAGTCAATGAAGCAGAAGTAGATGTTTTTCTGGAACTCCCTAGCTTTCTCCATGATCCAGCGTATGTTGGCAATTTGATCTCTAGTTCCTCTCCCTCTTCAGAATCCTGCCTGTACTTCTGGTAGTTCTCGGTCCACATACTGCTGGAGCCTAGCTTGTAGGATTCTGAGCATGACTTTGCTAGAATGGGAAATGAGTGCAATGGTGCGGTAGTTTGAGCATTCTTTGGCATTGCCCTTCTTTGGGATCGGAATGTAAACTGACCTATTCTAATCCTGCGGCCACTGTTGAGTTTTCCAAATTTGCTGGCATATTGAGTGTAGCACTTTTACTGCATCGTCTTTTAAGATTTTGAATAGCTCAGCTGGAATACTGTCACCTCCACTAGCTTTGTTGTTGCTCAGACTTCCTAAGGCCCATTTGACTTCACATTCCAGGATGTCTGGCTCGAGGTCAGTGACCACCCCATCATAGTTATCAGGGACATTAAGCTCTTTCTTGTATGGTTCTTCTGTGTAATCTTGCCACCTCTTCTTAATCTCCTCTGCCTCTGTTAGGTCCCTGCCATTTTGGTCCTTTATCATGCCCATCTTTGCAAGAAACAGTCCCCTCATATCTCCAATTTTCTTGAAGAGATCTCTGGTCCTTCCTATTCTATTGTTCTATTTCTTTGCACTGTTCATTTAAGAAGGCTTTCTTATCTCTTCTAGCTATTCTCTGGAATTCTGCATTCAATTGGGTGTATCTTTCTCCCTTTCCTTTCACTTCCCTTCTTTCCTCAGCTATTTGTAAAGCTTCCTCAGACAGCCATTTTGCTTTCTTGCATTCCTTTTTCTTTGGGATGGCTTTAGTTGCTACCTCTTCTACAGTGTTGCGTACCTGCATCCATAGTTCTTCAGGCACTCTGTCTATCAGATCTAATTGCTTAAATCTATTTGTCACCTCTACTGTATATTCATCAGGGATATGAATTAGGTCATACCTGAGTGGCCTAGTGCTTTCCCCTACTTTCTTCAATTTAAGCCTAAATTTTGCAACAAGAAGCTCATGATCTGAGCCACAGTCAGCTCCTAGTCTAGTTTTTACTGACTGTATAGAGCTTCTCCATCTTTGGCTGCAGAGCACATAGTCAATCTGATTTCTGTTTTGACCGTCTGGTGATGTCCATGTGTAGAGTTGTCTCTTGGGTTGTTGGAAGAGAGTGTTTGCTATGACCATCGTATTCTCTTGACAAAATTCTACCAGCCTGTGCCCTGCTTCATTTTGTACTCCAAGGCCAAACTTGCCTGTTATTCCAGTTATCTTTTGGCTTCCTACTTTAGCATTCTAATCCCTCATGATGATAAGGACATCATTTTTGGGGGTTAATTCTAGAATGTGTTGTAGGCCTTCATAGAACTGGTCAACTTCAGCCTCTTCAGCACCAGTGGTTGGGGCATAGACTTGGACTACTGTGATGTTGAATGGTTTTTCTTGGATTCGAACTGAGATCATTCTGTCATTTTGGAGACTGTATCCCAGTACTGCTTTTCCTGCTCTTTTATTGACTATGGAGGCTACTCCATTTCTTCTGAGGGATTCTTGCCCACAGTAGTATACCTGATGGTCATCTGAATTAAATCCACCCATTCCTGTCCATTTTAGTTCACTGATTCCTAAGATGTTGATGTTCAGTCTTGTCATCTCTTGTTTGACCACATCCAGCTTGCCTTGATTCATGGATCTTACATTCCAGGTTCCTATGAAGTATAGATCTTTGCAGCATCGGACTTTCCTTTCACCACCAGATACATCGGCCACTGAGTGTCCTTTTGGCTTTGACCCAGTCGCTTCATTCTTTTGGCGCTACTAGTACTAGCCCTCTGCTCTTCCCCAGTAGCATATTGGACACCTTCTGACCTGAGGGGCTCATCTTCCGGCGTCATATCTTTTTGCTTTTTGGTACTGTCCATGGGGTTTTCATGGCAAAGATACTGGAGTGGGTTGCCGTTTCCTTCTTCAGTGGATCACGTTTTGTCAGAGCTCTCTGCTACGACCTGTCCGTCTTGGGTGGCCCTGCACGGCATAGCTCATAGCTTCATTGAGCTACGCAAGCCCCTTCGCCACGACAAGGCAGTGATCCATGAAGGACATGCAGCCTTTTAGAATGGAGAAAAAACTGAACTGAACCAAACAATCAGCGACTGAGGAGAAAGGGATAAATCTGTGGGAGGGAGCTGTAGCCATCTGAGGAAACCCAGATTTGGACCCTGGGCCTATTTCTTGCCCACAGTACTATTTTTAAACGGCACTGGAAGCTAATGTGATTGCTGGAAAGACCTTTCTGTCCATAGGAGGTGGGTGTGCACATGCATGACATCAGGCTATTGTCTACTGCTGCTTAAAAGTGCTGATGCTTGCAAGTTGAAAATTCAGGCTTTTTAACAGATAACATAACTCTATTCACTTGGAGACTGCTGAGAATTAGCTTGCAGAGAGCTTTATTAGCACGTTTTCATTGTCTCCTTTTAAAATTCTGTGTCTTGCAACAAGGGGGGCAAAGCTGGAGAACTGGGAAATCCTGCTGATCTTTCTTGCATGGTTGAATCGCTGCAACAGAATGTTGCTGATATTAAGCAACAGGCAGAAATGGCCTATGGAGTGCTCGATGCCTTGGAGGAACCCCAAGCAACAATTGAGCGGCTTGAAAAACAATTGGCTGAAGTTACAGCTGAGTTATCCAAAGCTCAAGAGGCACTCTCGTGCAGCAATAAAGGTAGGCCTTCCGAAAAAAGCAAAAGATTGGCAATGGCAAAAGATTGGCAATGATCTAGAAGAGTATGCATCTGGATCATACATCTAAGGTGAGCTTTGGGGTTATGGTTCTTGAACAGCTACCCATCATCCTTGAATCATGTATGCATACTTAGTGGAGATATGAACTAGAAAAATTTCTTGGTCATTGCCTGATTTACTAAACTAGTAAAGTGTATTGGTGATCCCACTTGGAGACATTACTGGTTTTAACTGAACCTGTTTTGATGGAAAGCATGTTTGTGGCTACCCACTGAATTTGAGCTAAGCTGTGTGAGAACTGGAGAAAATCTTGCTTTCGTAACATGGTATATACTGAAGGTTGTGATCATGACCAAAGGAATACAGGGTGTGATGTTCAGCTGTCCCTGAGTCCCTGACTCCCAGAGACTGGCAGGGGTCTTTCTCCCCTCGGCTTCCCTGAAACCGAACCTCCCAGGCCAGACACTGGATTCGGCACATGACAACCAAGCCTGGGGACAAAAGGGATTTATTAAAAAAAGAACCACAGTCTAGGGGTGGAGGGCTTTCATATCCTGGGCTAACCCTTCAGCTCCCAGAAAGCCCTGAACTGGTTCTCTATTACACAGGGCTGCTTTTCTTAGAAAAAGAGGCTGACTAGTAGGGATGTATTTAAAAGATGGTGATTGTTAATGAATTTTTGTGGGGAACAAAACAATAATCTTAGACTATGAAATGTGGCTACATATCACTCCTGCTAAATAATGTACTCAGGTGATAAGTCGAGAGAAATAGAGCCCAAACAGCTGCTTGCTCACTCTCTCAGAGAATTTCTGTCTTTCTTTCGGTGGCTTTTCTCTGCCTCTTTTCCAGTCCTTCTATCTGTGTGTTTGTCTGGACACCCTTCTATCAGATGGAAGCAAATTTTCTGTATGTTCATGGTTTGTGAGCTGCCGTGTCAAGGCCAGTGGTGGTACCAAGATGTTCTTCCACCTGTGGCAGGGAGATGCTTTCCTTCCCCAAGGCTTCCTTCTTTAGAGTAAGACACTGGGCATGACTGGTAGGAATAGCCAGGCTGTGGTAGGCGGGCCTCCCAACAGTGGAGTAGGAAGACATGTGACAGGTCACCCTTCTGAGCTACACATAAAGGATTCTTTGAGGGGTTGTTTTCCCCTCTAACAGGCTTGTATGATGCAAGCTGAGGCTGGGCAGGTGCTGATATAAATTATGTCTGGTACATGCTGTAGCATAAGCAAGCTACCGTGGTTTGTTTAACCTATGATAATCATCCAAACCAGGACATTGGGTCTCTACTAGTTCTTTACAGAGAAGGAAAAATGCACTATTTTGGAGTATCAAACAAATGTAAGAATACAGTTAGTTACTTTGTCTATTACCTAGCAAAACAAATCACACTTTTTTCTTCTATGACATTTATTTAATACTTTATACAAACCTTTTATCCTACAGTGGAGACAATGCAAGAGAATAAATTGAATGAATCTGCTAAAGTTCTTCAAGATGCTACTGAGGTAGTGTTGTTTTGCTTTCTTAAATACACTTTTAACCTAATCACACTCTGCTTGTTTGAGTCTGATGCCAGGTTTATGAAGCTGGGAAAGATGTTCTGAACTTGCCCTGATATATTTTGGATGCTCAAAGTATCACTTATAGTTCAGTTGTCATGTCTAATATTTAAACACATTTTTCTCTTTATTCTGAAGAAAATGACGCTACAGAACAAACATATACAAGAACTAAGTCAACTTGTGGAGAAAAAGGATGATGAAATAAATAGGCTACAGGTTCTGATAAAGCACTTGGAAGCAACCAAAGAACCAGTGAGTGTTTAATATTCCAAGTTGTTGTTATCTCACAAATAGCAGTTGGTTGTTAATGTAGCAATGCTAAACTAAAGGGCTGTCTCTGGGCAAAGCATTTAGTTTGGGACCCAAAAGCCACACAGGTAGTTGTACCCAAGAGTGCCTTTAAGAGGTGTGTGTGTGTGTGTGTTTAATGTTAAAGCTCTGATGGCTCCATCTGGTTCAGCATTCTGGTCATGCAGTGGCCAACCAGCTGCCTGCGAACAAGCCATGCATAGCACACAGATTCAACAGCACCCACTCACATGTGTTATCCAGCAACTGGTGTAATGAACCATCCTGCTGGAGGTAGAATATAGCCATCTCGATGAGTTGCTTATAGTCTTCTCCATGGCACACTATGTCTTTAAACAACGCCATTCTTAAAATGATGATTTCATGAGGATGTTTTGTGATGAAGTGACCTGCTGTTCAAATCATGTTGCTGTTTTTCTAAAGACATGCAGGAGTTTCGAACATCCCTATGGTTCTCAGATTCACGGTTTTAAACTTGCTATTATTTTATAAGCAACAGCCACGCATAAAAATAAGCACAATTGCAGAATTTGCTTTGGTGCTTTTGGATATAGCAGATGTATTGTTACAATATTGGGACATAGTGTGAAGTCATGCAGTATTTCAACTTTGCTGAAGTTAGGGAGGTCTGGATCTGGTCATTGTCTAAATGGAAAATCTCCTGAGTATGCAAGTATATTGTCTTGTGAATAGAAACATCTAATGAGAATATAAGCATAGAAAGTGACATCACTTTTGTGCACCAGCTTTGCTGTCTTACCCAATCACTTACTCCAATTTTGAAAGGGCAGAATGTGACCTGCCCCTGACTTAAATTCATACAACTTGAAACCAACAAGGGTGGGGAAGGCAATGAAACCATGACACAACCAGAATGGGAGAATGGACAGAATTGGAAGGAGAAGTGGAAGAACAAGCCACTGAGAACAGTGTGGGGGTGGGGGAAGATGCAGAGGGGAGGGGGGGAACAAAGCAACATGTATGTGAAACTTTTTTTAAATTTTTCATAAAGTCTAAAGTATATGTCAGCAAGCCACAAATTGCTATGTATACTGATGTGTTATGAACAAGAAGCTAGTCATGAGTATCTTAGCTGTTTCATCTGGTAACAGCAATTCATTCATTCATTTTATTATTAAAATGGCTTAGCAGTGTATTTATATGGCTGCCAGATAGTATTGAGGCAACCATAAGATTTTTCAAAGATCCATCTGTGAGGTTTGAAAAATCTCCATCATTTTGTAGCTTGGTCTCTGTGCTGTATGGTTCGGGTCATAGGCAGTGGGACACTAGACAGAAGCAACAGGTAACACAGTCAATAAGGTAGAAGGCTGGAGTCCAGCCACCAGTCAAATCCAAGTCATTATCCAGGGCAAGCCAAGGTCAAAACCAGGAGCAAAACAGGGAAGCAAACCATGTGTAGTCTCAATAGCAAGAGCATGGCCAAAACAAGCCAGAGGTCAGGAGTCAGGAAGACAATAAAGAGGAATGGGTGCCTTGGAGCAGGAGCAGAGTCCAGGAGCAGGCAAGTTCTACAGAGAGGAGGGCTTCAGACACTGGAGACCAGTGTGCTGAAACGATTCTGGAGGGGAGAGCCAGTTCTTAAATAGCTCTTCCCCAGGGCTCCTAGGTGGGGCTCATGAAGGCCCTGGCAGCTCCAATAGAGTTTGAGACTAATCCTGCAACTTACCAGAGATGTTATTCTGGCATTTGGCGAGCCGGAGGAGCCCTGACGCTGCCTGGATCCTGGCGTGTGCTCAGAGCACCCTCCTCACCCTTGCAGCCAGAATTTAAAGAAGTATGTACAGTATATGTGGATAAGGGGGTGAGGTGAAGGGTCTGCCAGTGTTCAGTGTATCTTGGTGTTGCCTCAGTCTCCTTCACTCCCTCTCAAAGACACCCCTTGTGATGGCTGAAGGTGGCCATCCAAGCATTTTTCAGGGTGGCAGAAGTGTGTCTGCATTCCTTCAACCCTGCATAGGATGCCTGTAATCCTGAGTTCAGAGATTATAGGCCTTGTGGCTGGATTGTGCTCAGTGTATTTATTCTATGTCATGTTCTTTGGTTACTAGATGAGTGGAAGAATAAAAAAATATATAGTAATCAAAGGGAGTATAAAGAAAAATGAGGATACATGTCAGATAATGGGCCCCACTGTGTAGAGCCCATTAAGAGAGGAAAGAGACCATTCATCAAGTTTTTCTTCTCGGGACAAAAAGTCTAAAAACAAAATTGGAAAACTATGGGTTTCTTGTTCCTTTGTTTGCTGACTGCATCATAGGAGAGAGGAATAAACAACGGTACATAATACTGGTTTTTTTTACAGCCTGTCAAGTTATGGGTGAAGGAACTAAAATCCTTGCAGCATCAGAAGGCAATAGTTTACTGGATTTCTAATGGCCTCTCATATTCACTCAGAATATGCATTTCCACATGCACAAATAATGTTTTGTGCTAAGAAAAGCTTGTTGATTGCCCTAAAAGGGAGGGAACTGTTGCAGTTAAATAGATGGGATATTTAAAATGTCTGTTCCTAACAAATGAAATAATTCACTGTCATGGTGAGCAGATGCTTTTTAGTTAACTCTCATTCAACTTCATCCTTTGCATTGGAAGAAAATTCTGAACAGTGGATTGAGGACTAAGTAGCCTTCTAATATCTCTCCTTTTGATAGAGTTGTCTTCCTTATTTTGATACAGGAAAACATGGTTGCTACTATTAAACAAGAAATGGAACAGGACGACCCTAACAAAGCAAGTTGTACCCATTCTAGGGAGTCAACAGAGACATGTGTGTGTACTGGAAGGAAACGCTATTTAGAAAGGGAGGAGGAAGAAGGGCCACCTGCAAAGCAAGGTATCATTTCCTGTTCCACAGATGCAAACAGACTCCTGAGATCAAAAGTTACTTGCAGAGCCCAAAAAGCATGGCATAAATAAATGTCTGAGGAAAAGAGAGACAGCATGGATTTACATGTCGCATGAATGGTTTATTGCTCTTATTTTTAAAGTTTAAAATAAATATTTCTAATAGAAAAACAGATTTTTCCTTTTTGCATGGTCTCTGTATATTTCTCAAAGAATAGATATAAACCTTTTTCTATTTAATGAATCTTCTCGGACTTGTGTGTGCTTGTAAGCTTCATTCCAGTTGAAGGATCTTCCAAACTGTTGTCTGTCTATGTCCTGTGCATATGTGGCTTGTGAGTTCTTACCTCTCTCTCATGCAGATTTCCTCCCACTCTTCTTTGTTCAGTATTACAGATGGTATGATTCTCTGGTCTGAGATTAAGCCAGTCATAGCTAGTGGTTTCTAAGCAGGGTGTGAACGCAAAGAAAGCATCCCTAGTTCCTAAGAGCCCTCCTCAACCTGGTAACCTCTAACTTGGGACATGTCCCAACAGCCACCAGCCATCCATGATCACTGGAAGGCTCTTCTAGAAGAGCATCAGAACAAATCATGCCACCATCTTATGTAACTTATTTTCAAGGAATGCCATGCAGTTAGGTGTAGTGCATGGAGTTGAAGAAATCCTGCCCACAGGGGCAGAGACTGGAATAATAGAAATATGAGTTTTAAAAAAATCAAGCAAAGGTTTCTATTCTGCATTTACACATTTATACAAATTGGTGTACAATACATTAATAGCACAATATAATTAAAATATGAAATTATAACTTGGATCTTTTTTGTGTTTTCTAAGGTTAAAAAAAGTTGCCCAGTTGTGGAAAATTATCTGTTCAGAGCTTTTGCTGGAAAAGCGATACAGCAGGCTCTACCCACAGATGGTTCTTTACCATTTTTAAAAATCCTAAATTGGTCCTTCTAGTTAGAAAATGGATTTTATTTAAGTTCATAGAGTATTCTACCAGTAAGGGTATCTATCTTGCTCATCAGATCTTTCAGTAATAAAATAGGGATATTATGGGCTAGTTTATATAACATAGCAAATCCTGTGTTTGCTGCTTTGTCAAACTGCTTCCAGTTTGCATCAACAATCATGGCTACTTTGTTTATAGGTTGTTAGTATGACATCTTAATGTGAACACAGTGGTATTTATGGGTTCAACAATCAAAACTTAACCTGCAATTAGCTAATATTAGGTTGTTTGAGAGTTAGAGAGTATTTGGGTTTGTATGTCCTGCTAACAACCTACAAGCAAACCTTTTATAGGTTATTTAAACAAACCAGAAGGGTCTCGTAATGCATGTTCCCACAAATCATGGCCTAATTAACTCACAGTTTCCGTCAGTTCTGTGCTTGCTGAGTCTATATGCTTATAGGTACGTACACTGTCTCATTCTATGATACTGATATGTGTCTCAATCTGAGACCAAGAAGTCTTATTGTAGTATATGATTGTATGGCACTTATAAGGACTAAACTGCGTTCAACAGTAGAGCTTTTTTTCTGAGTAAAGATGTGCAAGTGTGACTGTGAGACTGCAGTTAAAGTAGCTTGCCAACATCATTAACAGTTTTCCAAGTATATTATATTACAGCATGTATGGTTTATGGCACAATTCTTTGTATATTTAGACAAAAAAATCCTGTAACTCAAAACCTCGAAGGCATGGTTTGCTTATTTCTGTTTGGAAGGGAAGACATATATTCCACCAGTTTGGAATCAGCTTCTTATCATTAATCTGCTTTTCCTCCATGGCCAGTATTCTAACTTTGCTTGTTTTGCTTGTTATTGACTTCTGCAATACTTTTCTTTCATACTTTAAAGCTACCCTAGCTGGTCAGCTCTAACATAGTAAAGCCTTTAATTGAGAAAGCCACTATCCTGATCTGTTTGGAAGGAGGGAAGCAGAATGTCCATGACATTAAGCCTCCCTTGAGTTGGCACAATTGCAAGTTAGTTCCCACCTAGGAAAAGGTCACCTCAGGCTGACAAAAACAAACAAAACAAACCAGAACCAATGCTAGCCAATAAGAAACTGTAATTTAGTTGGAATTATTTCTAGAGAAGTTCTGATGTCTAAGAAGGATTATTTATTCTGTTTAGACTTTTTAGCTATGAATAGTGTCCTGACTCATTTCACCTGACATACTTCCTAGGTTCTTTGGCCAGTGATTGTGTTTATACCTTTTAGATATTGTATAGCAGGTTGATTGCCTGACAATGAGAAAGAAATACGTTTCCAGATGTGTGAGAATGTGTATCTCTTTGTGGGTGAAGATTTATCCAACCGTCTTTTTAAGATTGGCCCCGAATCTTCTGAAAAGTTGTTTCTAGATACATGTGCTGGATTATAACCATCTTTTTAACTTTTGTAGGATCCATTCACAACAGTTCTAAAGATGCCATAGAGACAAAGAAACCTGAAGAAATGCAACCCCATACTTGGAAGGAAAAGGCAGAAATGGTAGCACTTAAAGAGCAAAATAGAATGCTTGATACTTACTTGTCTACACTTAGGGAAGAATTGGAAATAGTGAAAAATGAGAATGAGGGATTTTCTAAAAAATTAGCTAATTTTTCTCAGGAGCTTACTTCTTCAGAAGAGAATGCTTCTTGCTTGAGCAGGGAACTCCAGCAGCAGCAGGCTAATTGTGAGAAAATAATGTCTGAATTAGTCTTGCTGAAAAATATAAATAAGGAACAAGGAGAGAGAATTCAGATGCTGCTTCAAGAACTAGAGGCTGCTCACCAAACCACTGCAGAACAAAAGTCAAAGATAAAGGCAGTTGAGGTAAAAATTGGTGAGCTCAGCAGGTTAGAGTCACAGAGCCCTAGTTTAGTTTTTGACTTAGCAAATGGAAAGGAGACGGTAGAACTTCCAAAAGAGGGGAATGAACAAACTCACTGTAACCTAGGTCAAAACAGCTCATTTCACTGTAGCATTGAAGGTATCTGGACAGCAAGCCAGCAGATCATTTGTTCTGCTTCTCAGAAAAGTAGGCAGATTGAAGGCCTTCTCCAACAGGTCGAGCAGTTGCACAGGAGGATTCAGGATGCTGAAGATGAGAAGTGCCAGCTGAAGTTAAAGCTTAGCGAATTGATAAATCAGAGGGAGGCATTCTTGCAGGAAAAGGAATGCCTTCTGAATCAGTTAAGAGACTTGCAGCAGGAAAGTGTGCTTTATGCAGGAAAATATAGGGAAGAGGAAAATAGGGCCCATGAATATTTTGAGAAAATGAAAAAAAATGATGGGCTCTTGGAAGAGTGTAAGGCAAAGGAGGCCAATATAGCTTGTTTACAGCAAACACTGAAAGATAAAGACTTAGTTATTTCAGTATTGGAAAGAAGGGTCGAAGAGTTGCAGGAGAAGCTTGACACTTCAGAAGCTAAAATCAGGAAGTTAAATGACCAAGAATCTCAGATGAAGGGAGAACTTCAAGAGCTCAAGACTAATTTGAGAAATATAGAACTTCAAGAAACGGATAAGGAAGAATCAAAGCAGGCTATGGAACGGTATGTAACCGTTTAATCTAACTTCAATAATATAATTATACTGTATATTGGGACAAACATTCTCAAATTCATGTATAGACTGATGGGATCTGAGCTAGCAGTGACTTAGCAAGAAAGGGATCTTGGGGCAGTGGTGCGTGAACATGTCAGCCTTGTGTGCAGCTGATGTGAAAAAGGTAAACTCCATCCTAGACATAATTAGGAATGGAATACAAAATAGAGCTGCCAAGGTCTTACTCTCCTTTAGTACAACCATACTTAGAATATTGTGTTCAGTTCTGTTTGCATTACCTGAAAAAAGGCATTACTGAGTTGGAAAAAGTACACAGAAGGGCAACAGAAATGATCAAGGGGCTGGAGCAGCTCTCATATGAGGAATGGCTACAACAATTGGACTATTCAGCCTAGAAAAAGGGTTAGTAGGGGAGCCATGATAGAGGTGTTTAAAACAATGTATGTTGTGGAAAGGGACAGATTTTTTTTTCCTGCTTGCATAACACTCGAGCCCAGGGTCATCCCATTAGGCTGACTGATAGGTGGTCTAAGATGGATAAAAGGAAGTACTTCACACAATGTATAGGAAAACTATAGAATTGGCTGCCATGGGAAGTGGTGATGGCCCTTGGTCTGGATGGCTTTAAAAGGGGATTGGACAGATCATAGAGGAGGGGTTATCAGTGGCTACTAGTCTTGCTGGCTGTGTGCTACCTCCTTTACCAGAGGTGGTATATGCCTGTATACATCAAGTGCTGAGGACCTTGGGCAGGGGGAGGTCTCACACCATCCTGCTTGAGGGATCCTGTGGGTAGCTGGTTTGCTACCATGTGTATGGAGTGCTGGGCAAGATGGACCTTTGGTTTGATCCAGCATGGGTTTTCTTTGGTTCCTATATACAGACATGAACATAAATCTGAGGTGAAATTAGCCACATTTATCTTATTCTTCCAAGGACCCAAATGCAGCTTTTATTACATGCTTTGCTAAGGGTTGGATCCACCTCACTTCTTCAATTTACAACACAAACCATAAAAGTAAATTAAGTTATTGACTAACTCTTACAGGTTTTTATTGTAAATTAGTGTATGTTTCTCTTGCTTCTATAAAGAAAGCAGCCAAAAAAAGAGATGATGATGTATCTTCAGGCTGTTTTCTGTAGTTGACTTTCAATGTGAAACTGGAATAGTGCAAATAAAGTTAATGAGAAATGCTAATATATATAATCTTAAGGCATTAAAGCTGCAAACATGTATTTAGCTAGAAGTAACGTAATTTATGGAGCATGAGAAGATCATATTGCCCCTATATTTTACAAGCAGCTTATATCTTGGGATCAAATTTGGATGCTTCAGCAGCTAGTGGTGATCTTGCCACATTGCACTGTCACTATTGCCTTAAGTACATTTGTGTGACGTGTCAAGGGATTTCATAGTTCTGGCAGTCGTCTCACCAGATGGTGGTGTTTGGGAGGTTTACATGACACATTAATGCAGAGTAGCTTGAGGGGCTGTTGCTGCTACTGTGCGCCAACAACTGGAGCTTGGAGAGGTGATACTCAGCAGGCACTGCTAGTACTGGTGTCACCATCCCAAGTAGGGCCTAATGGCAATGCACATCAACAGGGAAGCTGAGGACAGCCACCTGTGTCCCTGGCTTCTTGGTGGGCAAAGTGGCACAGGGATTGCTTGTTCCCTGGGATTTGTTTCAGCTATCGTTGGGCAACACAGCAAGCCACAAAGGGTTAAGCATACCCTACACCAAGCCATGGCTTGTCAGGATGTCTTATATGCCAAGCTTTAGCCTCCTTGACAACACCATACTGGTTTCAGACAATATGCTGAGCCACTGTGACTTAGTGCATAGTGCAAATCCAGTTGTTTATGTGAAAGCTAAAGCTTCTCGCTGTTTCTCAGTAGACTGAATAGCAGTTCTCATATTCCTTAGGTACTCTTGGGATACCTTTTCTCCTTTGTTTTAGTTCAATTTATGATCTCCTCAGTTGGCTAAAGGCCTGACACATCAATCTTACTGCCATCTTTTGGAACCAGACTACAGGAAGTCATTTTGACCCTGCCTTTTTCTGCACATTTAGATGTTGCTATAATGACCTCTCTCATTTATGCTTCCAATACTAAGGTTCATTCATATGGAATTCTATGAACCTGTCCAGCCATAGTAGCACTGGGTTTTGAGCTTTTGAGAGGTGCTGCCATCCTTCAACCCCAAATCAGTTACAGTTTCTGGGATATATTCTGTTGTTACAGAGCTGGCAGCATGTATTTTGTGCCTCCAAGTTTTGTTGTCCTGTTTCTCTGTAAACCATGTTGTGTGTTTGAAAATGTTCCATTCTAGAGCCTAAAAAAAGAGCCCCTGTGCAAAATAATATAGTACTTGTTAACACATGTGGGATAGGTGCTCTTCTTCTGTGAAAAGACAAATTGAAGCTTTCCTTTCAAAGAGAAAGAGTTACAGACTTGAACGAGTGCATGGCTAATACCTTTATAATGGTACCCCTGAGCACCTATCCTACGCTAACCCCAACCCCTCATTTTGCCTTTTGGCTATTAAAGGAACCGTCAGGCCTCTTTTGAATGGCAGAGAATTCAGACACAATGATAGTAAAAATAACCCTGTTATTCTCAATGGCTTTGTCAGATTTCCTATGTGATGCTGTGCGGATGGTATTAAGAAGAAGGGGATAAATGTTTCTACCAGGCCTCATTCCCTCAGCTGGCTTCTCACACTAACTGGCTATAGCAGTGTGTGGTAGCACTGTGGGTAGCAGTGACTCGGGGCTTCACTCATTAACTGAATAATTTATGTAGGCTACAGAAGTGAGAACTGAAGTATCTAAAATAATAAGGGGTCATTTAAAAAGTGTAGAGCCCTGATGCTATCCGTCACATTGACAGACACAGTTCTTTTTCCAGGTTGAATAAAGAGCTATCAGAGAGCATTGCCCTTTCCTCTCATCTGCAAAAGGAAATCCAACAGAAAGATGAAGAATATGCAGACCTGAAGGAGAAGCTAGCTGATGCAAAAAAACAAATTGAGCAAGTTCAGAGACAGGTTTGTAAGAAGGAAGGGGTGTTTTCTCCCTTCCAGTCTGTGTGCAGCTCTTGTTTTGTCTTCCCTAGCTCCTCACTTATATTTGGTTAGGCACTGTTGGAGATGAGACTTGGAGCCCTTTTAGCACACTAGTAAAGAAGATAAACAGATACGTCTTCCAGAGTTTCCCTGGTTGTTGAATCAGACAGTTAATTAAGCCATTTCAAAGGCCTACTGTTGATGGCGGGTGACTTAATTTGAGTTTCCTCTGAGGCTGGTGTTGGGTTGCTGCTGCTCACATCCCTAGAGAGGATCTACTGTTTACCCTTGGATCCCCCTGACCTTCCTCTTCCTTCTTGCTGTTAGTGCTTCTTCATCCACCTCTCCAAGCAATGGAAATGATGAGATCAAGGAAAAGATACATCTATTTGCCTTGCTTTCTTCCTGGCCTGTGGCGTGGCCTGGGAGAGGAATAGTGACAGTGGCAAGGAAGCGGGGAAATTCAGGGAATAGAGGCTCATTGAAGGTCACTTGCTCTAAGCTGGAACAGACATTAGTTTGCTTTATTCAGTATCACTTCTTTGATCTGGTCCACCTGGCTTCTTTCTTTTACCAGTTATTGCCATGTTAATAAGGGTTGGATTAATATTCCAGGAATCTATAAGCCACAGATGTGTAAGTTGTAGCTCTCCAGATGTTTTGATCGACTACACTCACCAGCCCTAGCTAATATAGCCAATGTGTTGGATCATGGAAGTTGTAGGCCAAAGCATCAGGAGCTCCTGGATGTGCTTACCTGTTATAAACAATCGGGCTGTTGGTGTGCTTTGTTGGTCTGCCCCTCCCTTCTCAGCACTCACCATTGTAAGACAAAGTGAGTGAATCTGGATCATGAGATTGCTTTTGGCTTATGACTGAAAGTACGTCATTCATATGACACAATGATAAAAGCTACTGTATCTAAAACAAAGCCACGGAATCTCTGTACAGGTGTGTAGCATGCGTACTGAAGAGAAATCACTGCGGAGTAAAGTTGGTGAACTTGAAAAGGTCAAAAACCAGTTAACTGAAGAGCTAGACATCAAGCAACGAACAATCCAGCAATTGAAGAAGGTACCATAGAATATTTTAGGTCATACCTGACTGTGCATGATAATTTGAGAATGACTGGTATTGGACAAGAACTGCTGTGGCCTAGACATAAAGAGCACGAACCCAGAAGTCCCTAGTTCAACTCTTAACAGTAGGTAAAACCTCATTGTGTGTGCTATCTTGCACAAGCTTAGGCAGAATGAGTTCTGGAACTTCCGGTATTCCCTAATCACCCACGCTGGCTGAAGAGTGCCACGAGTTGTAGAACTTTTTCCATCAAAAGATGCATGGATTCAGTCCTAGACTGTCATTAAGCAAATCAGTACCTCTGTCTTGTTTCTCTGTAAGATGGTGGGCACACTGGCCACCTTTATAATATCCCCATAAGGCTTAGGAAGCGTAATGAAGTATTTTGAACTTAAAAAAAAAAGGAAAATGTAAAACAAAATGAATGAAAAAATGGAACATGAAACATATATTTAAAGTTCATATTTAATTTTTTCTATTTAAAGTTTTTTTTAAAACACCTTTAATTTTAAATGTTTATTTTTTAAAATAAGCTTATATTTAAAAAAGTTTAAATACTTAAACATATACTTAAAGTTTTTCAAACAAAAGCTTGATTTTGTCAGTGTGCCTGGAATTAATTAGAAAGGGCTCCTTCAATCTCTTCTACGGAGCACTGAAGGTGCGGGTAATCTCTTAGCTGTGAACTAACTAGTCAGGAACTTTTGGGTGCCTCTTCCATTCTTGGGCCTCTGCACAATCTAGTGACTGAACCTTTTTTTACCCACAGTCTGACATGTTCAGTGTCGCGTGTTTATTACCATTCTAGAAAAACAAACTGGCATGTTATTGTTCCGTACCATAGTTTGTCCCTTCTGCTCCAGCACTCATGGCAGAAGCATTACTCTGTAACCCAGCAGCCTTCAGTTCTTCAGGTCCTGGATCCACCTTTCACCCAAACATGGGTTAAACCCTTTAATCAGAGACAGAATGCCTATATATACCCTTTTGCTGGGAAGCTGCAGTTGCGCCCATGTCGTGCTTGTGGGTTTCCCAAGAGCAGCTGGCTGGCCATTGTGTGAACAGAATGCTGGCTGAGATGAACCCTCTGGTGGTTTCTGACCCACCAGGTGAAGACCAGAGCAGGCCAGGTCACTTTGGAATAGAGCAAGCCTATGTTTCACTGCTGAGCCCCATTTTAAATAGGGGAGTGCCTTATGTCTTTGGCCTTTTTTGCATCGCAAGTACCTGTGTTTGGTCTGCTTTTGCCGTTCACCTGAATTAAGTACAGCTTTCATATAGTGAAGAATGCCTTGTTCAACAATCCAGTCCTCTATATTTGAGGTTTTGAATGAGATGTCTGTGGTAGCAGTGTATCCATGGATACCTCTTGGCATCCACCTGGCTTCCTGCCCCTCCTTAAGGTATTTATATATTTTATTGGAAGACTGGCATGCTGTGAGGCGGAATGCTGCCCTGCAGCATCATCTTTATTGGGATCAAAATCAGAGTGGTCTTCGTTGTGGAACTCTGACCCCGTGTCTGCCTTGCTTGTACTTGGGCTTGTGATCAGGTTACTTTCCCTCTAGCTTAATGAGTTTGGCTTCTGGAAGAGGCTTTTCTGTGATTGGCTGGGCTCACCAAGATAGCGATGGCAGTATCTCCCACTGCAATCATTTTGTGAGGGTGCCCACAGCACACTCTGAATGTTCCATGTATGCCCACTGACACCATTGGGAGGGGACCCCTGCCATGCATGTTGATTGCAAAGTTAGCTCCCGGAGCTTCCTGGGACGTACTCTCAGGGAAGCAGATACAGGATTGCAGCCCAAGTTACATTCAGCACTGCAGGACTTATTTATCATATTTAAAATCAACCCATAAAAATGTTCTCTGGACAGATTATAAACATACCTCCTTCTGAGTAAATATGTGTATAGGATTGCCATTGTCTAATGCAATTTTTGGGGGTGCCACTCTTCCTCTTGGATGGCAACCCTAGCACCCCCAGGCCTTTTTGTTTCTATGAGAGGCACTAGGGCTGTCATACCTTAGATGACTTGGAAACATAGAAACAGAGCGAGTCAGAAGGGGTCTCCCGGGCCATCTAGTCTGACCCCCGGCTCCAGCCAGCTCTGCTCACGACATGCCCACCATGTGCATGTCCAGGCTATCTTGGAACACCCTCACTGATGGGGCTGCAATGACCTCTCGTGGAAGCCCATTCCATACCCTCGGGGTCCAAACTGTCAGGAAGTGCTTCCTGGCATCCAAATGGAACCTTGGCTCCCTGAGCTTTGCTCCGTTGGAGCTCATCCTGCCTACCTCTGCAGGGGAGAACAGGTCTCTACCCATCTCCATGTGACATCCCCTCACATACCTGTATGTCGCCAACATATCCCCTCTGAGTCTCCTCTTCTCCAGGCTGAAGAGACCCAGTTCCCTCAGTCTCGCCTCATACGGCATCCCCTGCAAACCGGCCACCAACCTTGTGGTCCTACGCTGCACTGACTCTAACCTGGCTATATCCTTTCTGTAATGAGGGGCCCAAAACTGAGTACAATACTCCAGTTGCAGGTGCACCAGAGTCGTATAGAATGGTAGTAATACCTCTCTTGATCTAGAAGCCACACTTCTGGCTATGCAACCAAGGGTGGTGTTCGCCCTCTTGACCACCGCATCACACTGCTGACTCATGTTTAGCCTGCAGTCAACCAGTACCCCGAGGTCCCTTTCACAAGTGCTGCTCTCCAGCCACTTGTCCCCTAACCTGTACTTATGACACCTATTCCTATGTCCCAAGTGTAAGACCTTGAACTTATCCACATTGAATGCCATCCTGTTGTCTCCTGCCCACTTCTGTAGTCTGTCCAGATCCTTTTGAATCTGGAGTACCTGCTCCTCAGTTGTGGCCACTGCTCCAGTTTTAGTAGCATCTGCGAATTTGATCAGCAGACTGTTCACCCCTTCTTCCATGTCATTAATGAAAAGATTAAACAGGATCGGCCCCAAGACAGAGCCCTGGCGGACCCCACTTGTCACTGGCCACCATCCCAATGATTCCCCACTGATAGTTACCCTCAGCTTTCGGTCAGTCAACCATGCCCTAATCCACCGGACAGTGCTTTGGTGTATCCCAAAACGCCTCAGTTTCTCCACCAGGATATCATGGGGCACTTTGTCAAAGGCCTTGCTGAAATCCAGGTAAACCACATCCACTGCATCCCCTCCATCTAGCCATCTCGAAACCTTGTCATAGGATTCCACAAGGTTTGTCTGGCAGGACCTGTTTTTGCGGAAGCCATGTTGTGTGGCTGTCAGCCTCCCTTCCCTATCTAGCATCACTAGATCTCTCTCTATTATGAGCCTTTCCGCTGTTTTTCCTACAGTGGACGTAAGGCTAACTGGTCTGCTGACTTAATCAATGCCGCTCGCTTGCCCAGCCTCTCTTCCTCCCCTGCCCTCATCCCCGCTCTCACCAGGGCCACAGGAGGGGGGAGCCGCAGGGTGCAGGGGGGCAAGGCAGGCTCCTCCTCAGCCGTGGTGGTGGTGACGACAAAGCAGGCATGGGCAGTGCTGGGCGCCAGCCGGCTTGAGAGGCGGTTCTTGGCTCAGTGTGCTGCAGCTGTTTCACTGCTTGCCTGGCCCCTCTCCCCTGCCCTCATCCCTGCTCTCACCAGGTGTTGGGAGAAGGGCGCCACAGCGAATGGCAGCTTGTGGGGCTGCAAGGGGATGAGGCAAGCTCTTCAGTGGCCCTGTTTATCACATTTTTGCCCTTTCATTCTCTTTGTTTCTTTTGTAATAGTAATCTATAATCTCCTAACGCCCTCTCGCCATCCCCTTTTTCTTCACTGCTTCCATGGATCTTTTCACAGCTTTCCAGGGGGTAGTACTGCCCACTTTGGGAATCACTGATCTAATGCCTCTTTAAACTTAGATTGGTTAACATTAATTATGTTTGCTTAGTTCTCATGTGTCTATTCTCTTTTTTTCTCTGCCCAAATTAGGAAGAGCAAAGTAAGAAGCTAGAGGAAATTTCACAGCAGTATCAGAGAATATGTGAGGGTATGTAATTACTAGGGCTTGCATATTGATTTCCCTTCACATGTTTCTGACATACATAAGCTTGTTATTTCATGTATGCTGCTTTTAATTGCTTTAAGTTTTTAAAAACACCTTTAATTTTAAAGTTGAGACCCCTGGGATTGCATGGGATATAAATGTTTTAAATAAATACAGTTATTAAGATTTAGCAACTCATTGTTTTATGCAAGTAACCTTGTTAATTCTGCATATAAAATTGATAAGTCTGAGATAAATATTAGAAAAGTGGTTCACCAGTTCCAAAACACACTTGCTTTAAAAGGCAAATGATATGAAGCGCTGTTAGTCCCTGTATGAACCCAGGGAGACTTGTATTGGGTTGATGCCATGTTGCACAAAGGCTGGCACTCACGTAGGGAACGGGATACAGTGGAAATGCTGAAGGAACAGCAGGCCACGTGTGCTGATGCCCCTCATTGAGCACCTGAGTGACAGACTGGGAACAGCTGCTAGCAGCCTCAATCCTTCTGTAAAGAGGGAGCAAATATGCTATATGGTACGCACAGAAAAGGTTTGGGTTTCACAGTCAAGGCATTTTGAGGTAGTGAAGAGTGTAGTGTTTTCTCTGTAATGCCTGTAATTGAAAATTCTCTTCTTGGTATAGTGTCTGATCATTATCATTAAAAGATTAGCTAAGAATGCTGCTCCTCTAATGGTGAACTGGACTGGTCAGCAGCACCAGGAGCATTTTCAGATCATGTAGAAATGCCTCCACGTGTCCAGTGAAAGCAGGGTGTGGAGCTGCCTCATTGGCTCCAACTCCATTATCAAAGCTCCCCTCCCCTGTGACCCTTGTGTGTTTCGCTGAAAGTGTGTTTAGATCAGGTTGGGGAAACTGGGCCATGTTGATGGGATGGGATGGGCCTGCTTCCTCCCCACAGATGTACACATATGCAAATGTGCAGACAGTCACTGAACACATGGAAGCAATTCTAAAGAAGGCTTAAACAAAGGACACCTTTGAAAGTGCTTTTTTAAACCTTTAGATTTATGTTCCAAAGAGAAAATCATTGAAGATATGAAACTGACTTTAGAGGAACAAGAACAGACTCAGTGTGAACAAGAGCAAATACTTGAGGCCAAGTTAGAAGAGAATATTAAATGTGGAGCAGGTAAGTTATGCAGGATCATTTCCCTTTCTCTCCTCCCCATATATATCCCCAGTCTCCTCAATTTGATCGATCTGAATTGTACAAAGTAATTTGAAATCCTTCAAATATTATTTTTGATGGTCATGTTTTTAGACCACCACCTCAATTCCTGAGGTATAGCCAGCTCCTTTTAAGGCTAGCAAATATGTTGTAACATAAGCTTTTGTTAACTAGAGACCACTTCATCAGGTAAATGAAGTGTTATTCTCCCTTAACAAGTGTGTGTATCTATATCACTATCTCATATGGATGAGGAAGGAAATAAATGAAGTAGACAGTGGGTTCAGAGGTCAAGCAGTGCAGGAAGTACCATCTGTGGCAGCCTTACATGACTTCACGGTGTCCAGATATACTGGACAAGAACTCCCATAGTCATGCTATAATACATTTGGAAGGTTGCATAACATCTGGATTGGAATTGTAATCCATATAATCCAGAGAGCCCATGACTAATTCAACAGTATACAAAAGCTTTTAATAAATAAATGAAATTTAGTCAAGGAAGTCTATCAATGGTAATTCATCTTAATTTGAATGCGTGCAAAATGCTTGAATTTCCACCATAAGCAAGCTTGAGCAACTTCTACAAAATGAAATTATTTAGTCTCTTGCACTTTTATTGATCCTTTTGTTTCCTTCCTTGTAGAACTGGAAGAATGGAAAAAGAGGTACTTTGAACTAGAGAAACAGAACAGTAGTCTGGGGCAACAGAATGCTAATGCAGAGTTTGAAAAACACACAGCATTGCCCAACGAAGAGCTAAAAAGATTGCAAGAGAAACTGAAGGTAATATTTGGTTTTGTGGAGTGCTGTACAGACCATATATTACTTCATTACAAAACACTTAGGGCAGCCATGTGTATGCAAAGAGGGTGGGTAGGGGGTAAGAGAGCCTAACATTTGCCACAATACAGAGCCATAATGCTAAACTATTATTTAGCTCGGTGTCTAAATGAGGCCTATATTTGACCCTGGAATATCTAGTGAATGTTTTCATACTTCTTCAGCAGACAGGGGACTCTGCTTCAGGAAATATCCATAAATGTGTGACAATTTTAATTGTGTTTGAGTGTTTTCTCAATTCCCTAAGAAGAATCAGTTTAACACTGATGCGTTTTTTTTCTGATTTGATGCAGGAAAATGAAGAACAGCATCAAATGGATCGCAAAAAGTGGCTGACAGAAAAAATGCTCCTTATAGCTCAGACCAAAGAAGCAGAGACCCACCGTAACAGAGAGATGAAAAGATTTGCAAGCGACAGAGAGTTGCACACAAAGCAGCTTGAAGAAGCAGTGAGTAGTGCAGCGTGTGCTCTAACTTGCCTATAGGAAAGCCAAGTTCTAAATATAAGGGTCTAACTCCACTGTCCTAGACATGTCTACCTAGAAGTAAGTCCTTTGTGTTAAATAGGATTTTCTCCCACATAAGCGTGTGTAGGCTTGCAGCCTTAGAATCCTGAGCAATGTAAGCTGTTCTTGTTAGTTGATCAGTGTTGAATGACTAACAGCATGGCTTCCTGTCCAGGTTGCATGTTTAATTTAAATAATTTCCATTTATGATTAATAGACATTGTCCTTCCACCAACGGACTTGATGTCTTGACCATGAATTGCTGCACTGTATCCTTTCAGTCATCATCCTGTGAAGCAGGTCTAAGCTGAGATGGTCCCTAGGCCTGGTTCACCCAGGAGCCTTGTGGCTGGGGGGAGAGCTTTGATTCACATCTCTGTAACTTCAAGTAACTCTGTAAGCTCTGTAAGCTCAAGACTGGACTACTGCAGAAATTTCTCTACAGGGCTGCCCATTGAAGCTGATTTTGTCCCAAGTGTGAGAGAAGAGTAACTAGTCAGTGCTGCTTATTTGGGCTGTTTCATACTTGTGCCAAGAGAATTTCCTAGCCCGCTTGTTAGGATTGAAGGTCTTCATCAGTACCTTGACAAGGGCTGCCACTTTGGGGAAAGTCTGGGAGATGGAAATTGGTCAGGGAAAGTGTGATTGAGATTTTTTCTTGTTTAGTCACAAAGTTGTGCCTGACCCATCATGACCCCACAGACAACATTCCTACATGCTCTCCTGTCCTCCACCATCCCTCGGAGTCCGCACAAGCCCACACCCACTGCCCCATTGACTTTATCTAGCCACCTCATCCACTGCCATCCCCTTCTCCTTTTGCTGTCAATCGTTCCCAGCATCAGGGTCTTCTCCAGTGAGTTGTTCCTTATCAAGTGGTCAAAGTAATTGAGTTTCATCTTCAGTATTATTATTATTATTATTATTATTATTATTATTATTATTATTATAACATTTCTATGCCGCCCCTTGCCAAAACCTCGGGGCGGCTTACAACATGATAAAATACATTGAAATACAATAGTACATAATAAATTACCATTAAATATAACAATACAAAAAATACATTGATTTACAAATACAAAATTAAAATTATCAGTATAAAATAAAAATATAGGAGGAGAAAGAGAAGGAAGAAGAAGTTGCCCAGGCCAGATCATATGTTTTAACAATTGAAATGATGTTTAAATAAAAAGGTCTTTACCTGGCGCCGAAAAACCAGTAACGATGGTGCCAGGCGGACCTCTTTGGGGAGTGAATTCCATAGGTTGGGCGCCACCGCAGAGAAAGCCCTCCTCCGGGTACTTACTCTCCTAATTTCTTTCATGGAGGGTTCCCGGAGAAGGGACTCTCCCGCAGATCTCAAAGGGCGGTCGGGCATATACGGACGTAAGCGCTCGTGCAGGTAGCCAGGACCCAAGCCGTTTAGGGCTTTGTAGGTCATAATCAACACCTTGAATTGGGCCCGGGCTTCAATGGGAAGCCAGTGAAGCTGATGGAGGACTGGAGTCATGTGAGCATAACGCCCCGTCCCCGTCAGCAACCTGGCAGCTCTATTTTGCACCAATTGAAGTGTTCGGACTGTCTTCAGGGGAAGCCCCACGTAAAGCGCGTTACAGAAGTCTAGGCGGGAAGTCACCAGCGCGTGTGTCACCGTCGCCAGGCAGTCGTATTCCAGGTAGGGGCGCAGCTGATTAATCAGCCGAAGCTGAAGGAAGGCGTTCCTCGCTACCGCTGTCACCTGAGCTTCCAAAGAAAGCTCCGGGTCGAGGAGTACACCTAAGCTGCGGACCTTATCCCTAAGAGGGAGTGTTGCACCATTCAGGACCAGGTCAAATCCACCCTCTCCGAAACCCGATCCGCCAACCAACAGGACCTCCGTCTTGTCTGGGTTGAGTTTCAGTTTATTGGCCCTCATCCATTCCCTTACCTCGGCCAAGCACCGGTTCAGCACAGCCACTGCCTCACCTGGATTAGTGGCGAATGAGAGGTAAAGCTGGGTATCATCAGCGTATTGATGATTCCGCAGCCCACACCTCCTGATGACCTCTCCCAGCGGTTTCATATAGATGTTAAATAGCAGAGGGGATAGAATGGAGCCCTGTGGTACCCCATGGCATAGCTGCCATGACGTAGAGACATGGTCCCCCAGCACTACCTTCTGGAATCGACCGTCGAGATAGGAGCGGAACCACTGCAAAGCAGTGCCTCCAACCCCCAATCCCGCAAGTCTATCCAGAAGGATACCATGGTCGATGGTATCGAAAGCTGCCGAGAGGTCCAGAAGAACCAACAGGGATGTACTCCCCCTGTCCTTCTCCCTGCACAGGTCGTCGTACAGGGCGACCAAGGCAGATTCAGTACTGTACCCGGGTCTGAAGCCGGACTGAAAAGGATCCAGATAATCAGTTTCCTCCAAGAGTGCTTGGAGTTGTCCCGCCACCACTCGCTCCAGCACCTTGCCCAGAAACGGGATGTTGGCCACAGGTCTATAGTTAGTGGCCATCTCTGGATCCAGTGACGCTTTCTTCAGGACCGGTCGTATTACCGCCTCCTTTAAAGGGGCAGGCACTCGACCCTCCCTCAGAGAAGCGTTAACCACTTCCAAAATCCAGGTCCCAATCCCGTGCTTGGAGTTATTTATTAACCAAGACGGGCAAGGATCCAATAGGCACGTGGTGGGACGTACTCTTCCAAGCACCTTGTCCACATCATTGGGCCGCAATAATTGAAATTCCTCCAGTAATTTTGGACCAGACGGTGGCATTGGCGACTCCTCAGAGACCTCTGATTCATTAGTGGAGTCCAGCTCGTGACGAATCTGAGCGATTTTCTCCCTGAAATGCCTGGCAAAGTCGTCACAGCGGGCCTTTGAGGGTGGCATCGGATCTTCCTTAGGACCCAGGCGAACCAGGCCTTGCACCACTCGAAAAAGCTCCGCTGGACGGCATTGTGAGGAGGCAATGGAAGCAGAAAAAGACTTCTTTTTCGCCTCCTTCACCGCCACAGCATAGGCCCGATAGTGGGCTCTCAAGTGTGTTCGGTCAGATTCATCCCGTGATTTCCTCCACCTACGCTCTAGCCGTCTCCCAACTCACTTCATCGCCCGTAATTCAGGTGTATACCAAGGGGAAGAGCGGACTCTGCCCGGTGGGAGAGGACGCTTAGGAGCGATTGTGTCCACAGCCCTGGTCATCTCTCCGTTCCACAGTTCGACCAGAGCCTCGACAGGAGCACCAGTCTTGTCAGCCGGAAATTCCCCCAGGGCCCCCAGGAATCCATCCGGATCCATCCGGCTCCGGGGGCGGGCCCATACAATCGGGTCCGCACTCTTATAGAGGGAGAGGCCGCTCTCGAGCACAAACCTCACCAGGAGGTGATCTGACCATGACAGGGGAGTCAAACATAAGTTCTTCACCCTCAGGTCATCCTCTATCTGCCCCGTCGTGAATACCAGGTCCAGAGTGTGTCCACGTTCATGGGTAGGGCCAGTGACGTGTTGAGACAGGCCCATGCCCGTCATAGAGGCCATGAAGTCCTGAGCCGCCCCGGTCAGTCCAGACTCGGCATGGAGATTGAAGTCCCCCAGGACCAACATCCTGGGGGTCCTCAACACCAGGTCCGAGACGGTCTCTGTCAGCTCAGATAGGGAGACTGCTGGGCAGAAAGGTGCACGGTACACCAATAGAATCCCCAATCTGTCTCGTTCGCCTAACACCAAGTAGAGGCACTCCAGCCCTGGTCTCAAAGGGACCGGAAGACCCGTGAGAGAGATGGAGGCTCTGTAAACCAACGCGACTCCCCCTCCCCTCCCTTCTGGGCGTGAACAGTGTTGAACCAGATACCCGGGCGGGCACAACTGGGAGAGGGCAACATCCCCTCCCTCTCCCGCCCAGGTCTCCGTTATGCAAGCCAGGTCAGCCCCCTCATCCACAATCAAGTCATGGATGAGGGAAGATTTATTATTGATCGACCTGGCATTGAGCAGCAGCACTGTCAGACCCGAGGGGTGGTTGACAAGGCTACCTGGCGCCCTCTGGTTGGGGGCAGGATCAGAAGGAGGGACAGGTGTCAGCCATCTGTCCATCCTTCTTCTACGTGGGCACGTTAAGCCCCTATTGTTGTAACGACCATTGCCCGTGACCACGCCAATAGCAGCCCCCGTGGGTTCCCCAGGATATATAAACGTTGACATGGCCAGGAATGACTCAAAGCACTAATTAAAGCAGGGTAAGATTATAAAGTAGGTCGGAGGAGGAGAAAAAGAACGATAAAAAGAAAAAAAAAGAAAAAAGGGGATCCTTCCTCTTCCCTGAGAATCAGCAGTAGGCAGGCCTATTTCAACAAGAGTCCATGGCCAGCCCAGCCCCCCTCTCGTCCCCCCGAACGGCACCCCAAACGGCGGCGACCCCTTTGGTCGCCGCCCTTCGGCCGCCGGCCCGAGGCCGCCGGCCCCGGCCGTTGCCGCGGCTTTGACTCCGCAGGGCGCCTCCGAGACCCGCCCCGTCGCGCACCGCGCGCGCCCGATCACCTGGGCTGGCGGGCGGCGCTCTCCGGCGCCGCGTGCGGCCGCGCTGGCCGGTGGAGCTGGCTGCCGTCGAGGTCGCAGCCGTGTGCGTCTGCCTGCATTCGCTTGCCCGGGAGCGGCGTGATGCTGGGGGTGGGCGGAAGCGTCTCTTGCAGCGCGGGGTCCTGACCTTCTAAAGAGTATCTGACCTTCTAAAGAGCAGTCAGGGTTGATCTCCTTTAAGATTGACTGGTTTGATCTCTTTGCAGTCCAAGGACATTTAGGAGTCTTTGCCAGCACCAAAATTCAAAGGCCTCAATTCTTCGGTGTTCAGCCTTCCTTATGGTCCAAATTTCACAGCCATACATGGCAACTGGGAAAACCATAGCCTTGACTATACACACTTTGGTTGGCAGGGTGATGTCTCTGCTTTTTAGTATGCTGTCTAGATTTTCCATAGCTTTTCTCCCCAGGAGCAAGTGTCTTTTAATTTCTTGGCTGCAGTCATCGTCTGTGGTGATCTTGGAGCCCAAGAAAATAAAATCTGCAACTGAAAATAAAATCTGTAGGTAGTCACTATTTCTTCCCCATCTATTTGCCAGGCAGTGATAGGACCAGATGCCATGATCTTAGTTTTCTTAATGTTGAGTTTCAACACAACTTTTGTACTCTCCTCTTTCTCCTGTGACAGAACATTAAAATGCTAATGTTTTTGTAAACCAGGAGTTGAACATAAATCTCTTTTCTCTATGTCTACAAAAATAAATTACACCATTCATGTCCTAGAACAAATATCAGGTATACATTTTACATTAATATTAAAAAGAGAACAAAATAATCAAGTAAAGCAAAGTTTATTAAACCAGCTTCTCAAGATATTAAAGAAAACAACGTAATTTTCAGGCACTTTATATGCCTATCTAAGCTTGTTTCTTGTAAGCCACTTGAGGATCTTTGCCTGAGGCTGATGGAAGTCTTTTATGCCCTTGTACACTATAATTAACTTAAGATTTTGCTCTGAAGTCTCCACCCTTAATAGCTGACATAAACTCAAAAGTAAAATGTGTATTTTTTGCAATGGTACTAGATGAAAGAAATGTGCAAAAATGGGGCTATTGAAAGATGTTTGGAACCCAAAGAAATAGATTTAGATGACACTCTGGATCAATATGACTTAGTCTAGGACTGATTAAGAGCACAGTCTAGGGCTGTTTAGAAGTGACTTTTATTGATGTTTCCATCTTAATGCAATTTCAGAACAAATGTGTTTCTTTGGTTAATGGTCAATGCTTTAAAAAGCTTGTATTAAGCTTGTATCTTGACTAAAAAAAAATGTCCTGGTCCTCCAGACAGTAAAACAAAACACAAACAAACAAACAAACAACCATGCAGTTCAAACAGTTCCTACCTACAAGATGTTTACAGGGATTTCTAATTCTGATTCTTCTCCTCAGGAAAAACTAGTGTCAAAAAAGGATAATGATCTTCAAAAATGGCGTGCAGAGAGAGATCAGCTGGTGGCAGCGCTGGAGGTTCAGCTTAGCTCTCTGACTTCCAGTAATGCACAAAAAGACAAAGAAATAGAAGAACTGAAAAGGACTATACTAAAAGCTTCCAGGAAGGTCAGTGTAAACGTTCCTCTTTTTCTCTACTGCCTTTTTCTGTTGATGAATCTCTCACACAGAACTGTTTTACATTTGCAGCATCCCAGAACTTAGGAAGGTATGAATGAATGAATTCTGAAGGTAGTTAGGGGTGTCTTGAACAATTACCCTGCCCCTGTTTGCATGCACTTCCTACTCCCAAACAAATTGCCACTGCAATCTGATACACACATACAGATTCATCACCTGATTTATTGTACACTTGGATGGCTGAGTGTCTGAACTGCCTCCATGAAATGGATTGATATTAAAGTTCTGACTGTTGTCAGTCTCTCATGTAAGTATGCAAATAAAGTTGTTAACCATCAAGTGATATAAGTCACCAGTTACTAGTTGCTAGAGAACAAGTGGGGAAGGACTATTTCCCTTATGTCCTACTTGGGGCATTCTTTGTACTTCTGAATGGCCCCATGGAAATGAGATGCAAGGCTAGACTGTCTTTGGTCTTTTTATTTGATCGATTGATTTCTGTACCATCCATTAACCAGAACAGCTATCTTATGAGCCGACCTTATCAGAAGGAGATAAGTTATTTCTGGTCTCACTTGGGAAAGTGTAAATGGTGGCAGATGATCCCAAAGGCTACATAATTAAACCAAAACCTGTTTGCTTTCTGCGTCTTGTGACTTTAGACTGCCTTTCCCAACCTAGTACCATCCAGATGCTTTGGACTTCAAGTTCCATTTGCCCCAGCAGCATGGCCCATAGTCAGATGTGCTGAGAGTTGTAGTCCAAAACATCTGGAAACCATCTGGTTGAGGACTTCTGGATTGGATTTTGATTTGTTGAAGTTGCAAGTTGAAGGTGCAGCCACAATCTCAAGTAGCTCCCATGCCATTGTTGAATCTCTTGTAGTGGATATAATAGAGGCTGGATTTGAACTTGTCATGTTTTTCTGACAGATTTTACAAATGTGGCAAATACAGAAGGTGTGTGGGTGTTTCAAAACCTGCTCTTAATCTATTTTAAGTATATAAGCAGGGAATTTCGTGTTGCAACTTCCACACTGAGTATTAGTTTCAGGTATAACATTCATTTTATCTTTGTCTACAAAAATCCAGTTCACTGTAAATATGGTATGTTTTAGCTTTTGTGTTTATCAGTTCTTTTTAAATCCAACTTATTGAATACCCACTGCCTTTCTTGTCTTTTTCTTTTCTTGTTTTAAAGGATTATAAAAGTAACTCTGAGGAACTTGGGAGTGATGTTACTGAGGAATTAAAACAGATTGGTCTTGAAAACTTTACAACTGAAATGTCACCAATTCCAAAAAATCCAGAAAGCAATAATGCAGATGATCTGACTGACTATAAACAGGTAAAATGATAATGCACTTTGTTTTCTTATAATGCAGTCCTTGGAAAAAGAAGTTGGACTATGCTCAGTGAAACTAATCTGGGGCTTGTCCCTGCAGGAATACTGCTGCTGGTAGATTTATGCCCACAGAGCTTTCTGCCGTGTACAGGGCAGACGTGCCATCATCAGGCATGCCAGATAAGTGAGGATTGCAACCCAGGTTTTTCCAAAGAGAAGAGGAATTAGGATGGAGCAAAGATAGTGGCAGTATCCCCACCTTGTTAGGTCCACAGAAAGATCTGCAGCATTCCTGCTGATGAGAGACCCCGAATTGGAGTGAGGAGGGGAGGCAGAGTTAATTGCCATTAAAACAATAGTCAGAACTGAAGCAGAGTAACAAATGATAAATACACAGCCAAGTTTAATGGGTGCAGTTTTAAAAGGCTTCAGGTTAGGTAGTGGAGAATATCTTTTGAAAAAAGTTAGGTCCTTGATCCTGAAATGCTACCAGTGCTGGAACACAGTGAGACCTCCTGGGAGGAGTGGCAGCATCCTGTCGTGTACTTCATACATATCCTTGCCTTTCCCAGCATTATTCCATAAAACATCAGAGGTATCTTGAACTGTATAAATGTGAAGATTGTAATTCAGCCCTTTCTTCCTTAGCTGAAAGAAAAACATAATGGCCTGCCAGACTTCACTAATGCTGAGGATGTGGGTTCATTGCAGCAAAGTTCTAGCATTCAGGTATGCTTCCATCTGACAAGGAAGTCTTATTTAATTTGGTCTTTGAATATTTCTTTCTGGTACGCATAGGGCCCCAACTCAAAGTTCTGATTTTTTTTCTTGCGTTCTGTCTCCTAGCCCCTGCCTGCAGTTCAGGGTTGCTCATTCCAAGTTCTCACAGTATAATTTTAGGAACTGCTGGTGGACTATGACTGGCAATGGTCCTTCTCCTCATCTAGAAGCTGCCCACACATGCATATTCATGCACATAAAATTTCTGATGCTTCAAATGGACATTTGGAGGAATGTGGGGATAGTTGGTGGTGCTGGTCTATGTGGTGGGGGCATGTGTCAGTCACACTGATCTTTTGGTGAAAACTGGTTTTGTTATATTGAAAGTAGTTCTGCTGATAGGACATTTTGGTGGTGGCTGGGTTCAGACAATGTGATGACCTGCACTCAAGGGTTGGGTGTGGTTGTCATTAAAATGTTAATTATCATGTTGCCAGGATCCAGCTGTGCTAACAAACCATGGTTTGTTAACCACTAGCAACTCACAATTTACAATCCAACAGTTCATGGTTAACAACTCATACTTCCTTAGTTAGGCTGGGTTGTGATAATATGATGACCAACATTTCAGTAGCAATCCATGATTCAGCAGCAACAGCCTATGGTGCGTCTGACAGACAATTGGGCTTATTGGGTTTTGTTCTCCCCACTATTCTCTGCTCCAACTCTCCAGCAAAACCTGTCTTGTTTCTTCCTTCCTGCTCAATTGCAACCCCTTTCTTCATGGGTTTTTTTGTAGCCCTGCCAGTTACACCTGCTCCACTGATGCGGCACTTTGGAGTTGTTACTTCACTTTTAAAAAGTTGGGGTGTGTACAGTTTCTCATTTTTTCAAAGGTGAGCCCCTATGGCAGTCCAAAATGTGGAGCCTGGCCTGGCCAGTATCCCAGTAATTGACAGCTGTCAAAGTGCAGTAGATAATATGCATGAATATTGACCAAGCAAAGCTGCATACACATTGCTTTGCACCCATTTGGCAGCTGTCAGTTGACGAATAGAGAACTGAAAAGGAAAAAGTTGAAGAGTTTATTTCCCCGAAAGGTGTGGCTAGTACTGGTCTGGGTATGGCCCTCTTCACTTTTTAATATTGACCTGACTTACCAGTTTTTACACCACTTTTTTCATATTTTTCAAGCCTGTAAGTACTCTGGAAAGGGGAGTTCTACATCCAATCTCCTTTATGTAATTACTTTCTTTTGATAGAAGAAGAAGCCTTCTTTTCTTTCAACCTCTCCAACAAATTTGAACATTCTTACAAGAGCAGGAAATACATGCGGACGTCATGGCTATAGATTGTGTGTGTTCTTTCTTTCCCCCTTCCCTTCTCTTTTGTCACAATTTAACAGCAGGACCAGTCAGACACCATCCTAGATTCTTGTGAAGTATCTTCAGAGAATGACCAAATCAGCCGCTTTCCAAAACCTGAAATGGAAATTCAGTTTACACCTCTTCAGCCAAATAAGATGGAAGTAAAGCATCAAGGGAATCCTTCTTCAATAACTATAAAAGTGCCAAAGGCGAGGAAAAGGAAGAGCAATGCACTGGATGAGGTAGTGACAACTGACTGAATTAAGCTTTCTTGACCTGTGTATTTGCCTACCACTGTAAATAAAGCTTCTATTAAAAAACGCCTTAAAACATAGATCAGAAAAATTGCCCAAGCCTGCATTCCTAAAGTAATTTGCAAGGAAATATCGTGGCATTTGCTTTCCAATCAAGATGCATAGGATGATGCTATATGGTGTGCTTCTTAAGTGTTTTGACATGTTTTTCTCCATGTGCTTGAACACTATAGAACAACACATACTTTTACCAATACCCCAAAATCTGGATTCACTAAGTATTTGTCTAACAAAGGGATCTTTTGTGAAGATTTCTGAATGGGAAATATTCCTCATTTTTATTTTATTTGAAGTAAGTATTAGCATTCAAAACAATTGAATCAATTTCCTCAAGACTTCTTAGGATGCGTTCTTCTTGTCTAACTAGTTGCTTCTTCTGAAGTTCTGGTTAGCTGGGTATGAATTCTACTATAGCTAGTCAGTCACAGGCATAAATGCAACCTTCTAGGCATTTCTGAGTGACTAAGCCACAGGTGGACCACATGAGCCCAGACACGGAGCACATCTCCATCCAATCACAAAATGTCACAGCCCAGGGAATCGGAATGATCATCTTAAATTTGATCTGCCAGCTGAATTCAGCCTGTCCTTCTTGATTAGTGTTGGCCTCTCAATCTGCGTGACGATAGACACCGACAGTGGCAGATTTGAGGGACACACTGTACCCATAAAAATATTGTCCTGGCTTGCATTTTTGAACAAATAGGAGTTTTGCAGATTTATTATTAAGCTTTACAACATGGTCGCTTTCTGCCATGTAACTCAGTATGTGTGCTCCATCCAGATCACTGTTTGTGATAAGGAACATCAAGACCACATTTAACTGTTCATATTAAATTTCAGCTTAGTGTCAAATTTCCAAAAGTGGCTTCTTGAATTCAAGCTCAGTACTGTCCATGAACAGTGAGAAGCTGAGTTTGTTGGAAAGCTAATTCTTTCTCCTCAACTTATTTCTTCAAGAGCAATAATTTGTTGCATTGCTGGAAAAGCAAAATTAGAAAAAATACACTTCTGATGATGTCAGTCAGGTACTGAATCCCTTTGAGCTGTATGCTGTAGGACTATAGCTACTGTAGATCACAGTAGTTAATATCATCTCTTACTCCTTAGTCATATTTCATTCCCCTTGTGCATTTGAATCTTAACACACAGTAACAATGAACTACAGCAGTTGGTCCTCATATGCAACCTTTGTTTCAATATTGCAGTTCATCACTTTTTCTCATGTACTTGCTCCTTACTCAGAGCTGACACTGCAGAATAGCCAAAATCACCCAGTTACTCACTTGCATCAGTACTGCTGTTGTAAAGCACTTGTGAAGCCTTAAGCACAAGTAGCTGAAGTGAATCATTTGGATTTCCTGCCAGAACTTGTTCTGCAAGTTTGAGGAAATTGGCACAAGAACTGGGACTAAATGTTGACTGAAATTCATGATAGCACATGTGAAGAGCTTAAAATGTGGTGATTCAGTTCACTTTTCATGGAAGGGTAGTGATAACGGAGTCCTGAACTAGATCATCTTCCCATTCAAACAGCTAAGCTCTCTCCTTTTCTGCTTTGAATGGATTGACGATCTATTAAAAAAATATAGACCCCAATCTGAACTTCACTTCATCACTCACCTGCAGGATACATATATCTTGGGATAACTGTAATCTCAAATTTTGTCACCTTACAAAGATAAACACCTCCCTACATCACAGTTGGCATACATAATTTATCTGTATTAAGCGAGTGTACACACTTCCTTAAAAATGCCCAGACCAAAGTCTAGCTATTGCATTATTTACAACAATCTTAGTGCTAAGCACTGTTTAGGTGTTCCAAGCAGAAGGGTCGGATAAAATAAGGTTTATTGTGTTGCCTGAGCTCTGGCATGGTAACAAACCATGGTTTGTTAACTAAGAACAGCCCACAATTCACCCAACAACTATGGTCTCTTCATGGGTTGTTTGTGGTTGACAAACCATGGTTTGTTAGCACAACTGTGTTCAGGAAACACAATAACGCACATTCAACAGCAACCCATGTTCAGCCTTTAATCCTTTAATGTAAGTTACTGTGTTGTCTGAACCCATTTACTATTTCAATGGTGGAGTGTAATCTCTGCCAAATTTCATCCCTGACCTTGAGTCCTTTAAGTCTCAATGGTAGCAATTCTATTTAAAATCAACACTATTTTTCCTTTGCCTCCCCTCCCCCCCAAATTAAGATAATGCCTGACCAGTTTACCAAACTTGTATCAGATCTGCTATTCACAAACTCCTTGTGCATGAAAAAATTATCATCTTAATGGTCCAACCATGAAGTGGCACTGGAGTACTTCTAGCCTAACTTCAGATCTATAAAAAGTTAAACTTATATTTCACTTTCTAAAATATACAGGAAAATGCAATGCCCAGAAGAAATGATAAAATGGATAAACTAGCACTAATACCTTTTCAGCTTTATTTAATTTTGGGAGAATGTTTCTTGCTTGTCCATAGCTTAAACAGTTTGGAATCATTTTGTGACCGAACATTGCTGTGGATTTCACCTCTAAGTTCTCCCTTTCATCTGAGAAATAGTAGTAAACAACCCAGTTTGGAAAGAGTAGTTTCATGTTGAGCAAACCATTCTGTTTTTAAGGACTTCTTGAAGAGTGAAAATGAGGAGAATGCTGCATCCCTGATTAACACAGATAGATGCTCTGATTCACTAAGCAGACAAAAGAAAAAGGTGTGTCTGTGCATATATGTTAAAAGCAGCATGTGCTATAACTTTCACACGATGGTTTTGTAGTCACTGAGAGCTTCTACTTCATGGCAATATAGAACTGAAATAAATAAATGAAAATTAAAAAGTTGCTTGGATATAATATGCAGTAGCTCTGTTTTGGTCTGCAAATTCTCCTCAACTATCCCAGCACTAGTATTCTCCATCTCTGCAAAAGTGAGGGTATTTACTAAGGAGTAAGTTTGGCGCTGGGCTAGAGTAGGAGGACCACCAATTCTCCATGCCTTAGTCCAGGGTCGAACCTCTCTTTGGAGTCTTATCTTTCCCTGGCCAAACGGAAGGGGGCATCTTCGTGTCTCGTCTACTGGTCTCTCTAAATCAAGGGTACATACTGTAACTGCAAGAGGTCCAGTGGCCATTTTCATCCACAGGCTACACTGAGAAGGGTACCATGCAGTCCATGGGACACCCACAGAAAGGGGTGTGGGGGACAAGCATGTAACATGCAGTTGATCCTTTTGTGCTCTGTAGCTTCTTCTGAAGCCATTTGATTTATTTCATTTTGGAGGTGTAGCATGGCAGTGTGCTGCCTACAGGCCACTTGCTACCCATCCTTGTGTTAAATGGTATAGCTAAGAGCCATCTGGTTAAAATGGCTATGAAGCAAAAAACTGGGCTACTGAGAAATGAGAAGGAAGGTATCACTGTGCTTACATGAACCCCACAGCTTGCAGAAGTCCTAAAACATTTCAAGGGGGGGGTGAGATGCACAAAGGAAGCTCAAAAGCAGGCCCCCCCCCCACCACACACACACAAAAGAAAGCCTAATTAGAACTGAGCATACCCAGTGGCCACAGAATGCTTGCTTGTTTGTGTATGAGCACCAGGAGTCGAACAATGTGTCTGAAAGAAGGAATGGCTGCATACTACAACATTTGGTTGATTATCTCATTTATCTCAGTCTAATTTCTTGTTCAAAATCAGTCATGAAAATATGACAGTGCTGTTCACCTTTGCTCTTCTAATTTCCTTCAGCAGATAATGTTGGCCCATTTTTGTTCCCAGTGTGGAGAGCAGACCCTCCCTTCCTTGGCAACCGCTGCTAAGAGTGCTTTGGACTGCCTCTTGTATTAGCAGCCTGCCACTGGGGGAACTTGGCAGAACCAGAAGAGGGTGATTCAGGTGGTCAGTTAGCTACAACATCTTCCAATGAGGAGAGGCTTTTAGCTTCCCCCCCTTACAATACTAGAAAGCAAGGAAGTCATTCCATGAAGCTGATTGGTGAAAGATGAAGGAGAGCAAGCAAAGTAGCTTTTTACACTGTGCATCATTAAACTATCATAAGATGTAGGGATGGCTGCCAAGCTTTAAAATTCTTGGAGTATAAGGCAGTCAGTGGCTACTGGTCATGACGGCTATAGTCTGCCTCAGATTCTGGAAGCAATCTGTCCCTGCATAGCAGCCAGTTCCTGGGGGACAGAAGGGGAAGGCACTAAATTATGTTCATGTCCTGCTTGGGGGTTCCACCGTGGAAACTGAGATCTGGGCTGGTTTGGCCATTGATCTAATTCTGCACGGCTCTTACATGATATCACTAGCTGTCCCATAAGCAGTTTAAATATTCATGTTGGAAAGATTGATAGTGCTCTAATTGTAGCTTCTTAGATGAATATTAGGATGTGAAAAATGCCTGTGGGCATTATTAATGCATTGGTTTGACTTAATATCTATGTAGTTCTTACACAAAAGTCATCAAAAGTCATCAAATATGCCTGGAATTCCATTCTTCATAGATATATTAAAACTAAATGCATAATGGAAAGTGGTAGCACTTCCATAGATCTTGTTTAGGCAGATGGCAGAGAGAATTACTGCACTTGAAACAGTTTCCTCATACATTCTAATCTGCAATTTTGTAGCAGGAACTTTTATTCTTCAGCCTTAGTAATTGAACTCTAAGGGTCAAAACAGTGATTGCGTCATTTAACAAGAGACTTGTTCATGGTGGCTCCATATGAATACCTTGGAAATTCTCAAAGCTGCTACTTGATCACTGCACATACATAGAGATGCCGGTTTATGCAGACTGCAGTGCCCACATGCATATAAACCCTACACAGAGTTGCTTATCCACCCAGAGGGTCCTCTAGGTAAAGCACCTTGTTGCATGCCTGGCACTCTTACTGCTGAACTAAATCAGGAGGAATAAAATAGCTGGAGCCCACAAGTATTTTGTAATTTAAAATATGTATATAGTACTCTTCATTTTGTTACTAAATGGTGTATCAGATTAATTAAAACAATTAAAATGAAATACAAAGATAAAAAGGGATAGTCTGTTAAGCCAGGCATACAAATTGACAAATATCTGTGTAAATTGACCACAGGTGCCAAACCACCATTCAAGAAATAATGTGGCAGAGGAGAGAATTCTACAGGCCACTCTCCCTGGTTGTCCTCAGATTTACCTGTGCAGGTGACAAGGCAATAGGGATCTATAGATCTTGTGAATGGGCAAGTTGACATAGGTGAAGGCACTTGTCCCAAATTAATTTCTTTTGTAAACACACTTCCACCAGGGTGTAGGGGCAGCATGAAAACCTAATGAATAATTAGCTTTAATGCAATATTTACTGCTGCGAAGTACACATACTATCTTTAAAACCTTTCAGGGAAATTCTAGCCATCCCAGAGATACAAGAGCAGAATGACTAGCTGTAGTTATTCAAGAGGATTAAATGACTGAAATTCTACACATACTTACATGGGAATAAGTTCAGTTGAGCCTAATAAGCTTACCTCTGAGTCATTCGCTTCTACTTCAAGCTACTTGGCAGAGTCATATTTCAAATTTGTTAAACCCTGCCTAAAATCCTATGCAAATAATGGGATGTCAAGTTCCCTTTGCTAAACTGGAAAGATGCAGGCCTGCAGTTGGATGGGTGACCATATTTGGAAGTGGCACAGGGGATTGGCCTTGGTCCTTTTAGGCCTGGCCCCGCCTCTTCCCTTCTGTAGCTGTTAATAAAGGACTAGGCTTTATCAAGTATATTACAATCTAGGAAGTGCATATCCTTTGCAGAAGAGTGGCAGCTGTTTGTAGCAAGCAGTTGTATATAGGACAGAAGCTAACAACGGTCTGGATTTTAAATCTAATCTCTAAATGTCTGTTGAATGTTTTGTGTTCCTTTAGACTAATCCTAACCGAGTTCTCAAAAAGGATTATTCCTTAAGAAGTAAACAGTTGCCTGCAAGTATAAAATCACCAGGGAATGCAGGTGGAACACTACAGAAATTTGGTTGTTTCTTGCAGAATTCTCCTACAGTCATACAGTCCAAAGGTAAATGGCAAGCCAAAGATCCTTTGTTTTTTCAGAGTTGTTGAGATGCTTCTGTTGTTGTTGTTACTTGCAAAGTCGTGTCCGACCCATCATGACCCCATGGACAACATTCCTCCAGGCCTTCCTGATTTCTACCATCCCCCGGAGTCCACTCAAGCTCACACCAACTGCTTCAGTGACTCCATCCAGCCACCTCATTCTCTGCTGTCCCCTTCTTTTGCCATCTATTGTTCCCAGCATTAGGCTCTTCCCCAGGGAGTCTTTCCTTCTCATTAGGTGGCCAAACTATTTGAGTTTCATCTTCAGTAACTGGCCTTCTAAAGAGCAGTCAGGGTTGATCTCCTTTAGGACTGACTGGTTTGATCGCCTTGTGGTCCAGGGGACTCGCAGGAGTCTCCTCCAGCACCCCAATTCAAAGGCCTCAATCCTTCGGTGCTCAGCCTTCCTTATGGTCCAGCTTTCACAGCCATACATTGCAACTGGGAAAACCATAGCCTTGACTATACGCACTTTTGTTGGCAGGGTGATGTCTCTGCTTTTTAGTATGCTGTCTAGATTTGCCATAGCTTTCCTCCCAAGGAGCAAGCGTTTTTTAACTTCTTGGCTGCAGTCCCCGTCTTGGAGCCCAGGAAAATAAAATCTGTCACTACCTCCATTTCTTCCCCATCTATTTGCCAGAAAGTGAGAGGACTGGATGCCATGATCTTAGTTTTCTTAATGTTGAGTTTCAAGCCAACTTTTGCACTCTCTTCCTTCACCCGCATGAAGAGGCTCTTTAGTTCCTCTTCACTTTCTGCCATGAGAGTGGTATCATCTGCATATCTGAGGTTGTTGATATTTCTCCCAGCAATCTTAATTCCAACTGGTGATTCATCTAGCCCCACCTTTCTCATGATGTGCTCTGCATATAAGTTAAATAGGAAGGGTGACAGTATACAGCCTTGCCGAACTCCTTTCTCAATGTTAAACCAATCAGTGGTTCCGTGTCCAGTTCTCACTGTTGCTTCTTGACCCACATATAGGTTTCTCAAGACACAAAGATGGGTCAGGTACTCCCATCTCTTTAAGAATTTGCCACAATTTGTTGTGATCCACACAATCAAAGGCTTTAGCGTAGTCAATGAAGCAGAAATAGATGTTTTTCTGGAACTCCCTAGCTTTCTCCATGATCCAGCGTATGTTGCACTTGTGGGTGGTGTATTAAGGAATTAAAATATTATGAAAATTCCTCTTTCAGCCAAGAAACTGATGGCAACAATCAAATCTCCCAAATCTACTGAGGAGATATCCGTTAAAGAAAATGGTGTTAAGCCCAAGCGAGCTAAGCGCAAGTTGTACTCAACTGACATTTCCTCTCCCATAGAGTTCTCTGGTCATGTGGTAAGTGGCATGAAACTAACCTGTAAAATGGGTGCAGAGTCCCTTTCAACCCAAGGACTTAATTCAATTTTGGAGAAACTGCTGTCTCTACCCACCCCATCCTACCTTACAGCATGATCCGCTTAAAACTAAGGACCACTGACTTTGATGGGACTTCCTTCCTCAGAGTCACTGGATTGTAGTCTTAATTTTAAATGAACCCAATTGTAGGATTTCTCTGATAGTCAGTGGATCCCAACTTCAAGCTTAATCTGTGAAGTCTAGTCTTGCCTTAACCTCAGCATGTTAAGAGCCAATGTCTCAGAAATCCAGCATTGTCACTAGAAACACTGATGGATTTGGTGGCTCAGAGCACTTCTGTCAGCTTAGGCTGAGCTGCATCCTTATTTAGACAGAAATAACCTAGCTCATCCAGATCATTGCAATGTGTTATCTGTGGGGCTGTTTTGAAAAAAAGGTTCAGAAACTTCAGCTAAGTCCAACATTGTCCAGCAATATTATTAATGGGGACTGGCCAACACGATCATATTATGACAACATTTTCCCATCTGCACTGGCTCCCAGGCCTAAGCTTGATAAAAAGTGCCAGTATTAACTTTCAAAGCCCATAATAGTTTAGAGCCACATCACTGAATGATTGTCTCCTCACATATACACCTGCCTGGGCACTAAGATCAACTTGAGCATCCTCAGTGAGCTTTCACTAAAGGAAATTAGTTGAGTGGCCTCTAGGGTGAGGGTTTTTTCTGTTCCGACACTCTAGTTGTGCAAAGCCCCAAAGGAGGCTTGCCTAGTACCACATGAAGATCACCTTGTTTTTGGTAGGCATTTTCATCTTTTAGTTTATTTATTTTTAATTTTTAAATTTTATTAATTGAACAAACATAAACAACACAATTAACATAATAGTAATAACCATAATAGTCTTTTAGTTTATGTTGTTTTAAATCTATTAACTATATTTTAAATCTTCATACTCCTGCTAGGCTTTATTTGGTTACTTTTATTTTAAATGTTTATATTGTATTTTATGGTTGTATTGGCTGTGGCTCATGTAAAGAAATGTAATAACTAAATCTCGCTCCAAATGGGGTTAAGACAAATTCTCACATTGTTATTATAGTATCAGCTCCACATTTGATTTATAACAGAACTTAAAAATTCCTTTTCAGATTGTTATGGATGAAAAGGACAGTGATCATGAAATCATCAAGCGACGTCTCAGAACAAAGAAAATGCACTGAGTTTTTTCACATTGTGAATCATGTACAATTCTCAGTTTGTGAATCTCAGAGCACAACTGTTTTAAGCTGAAAAATGATTGTAGATTGAGAACTGTGGCATCTGTTCTGTTACTTTATAAGTACAGTGTAAAAATCGTGTTCCCTCTTTTTTATGTTTCCAGAATTTGTGTATAAACTTTGGTACAGCTAACTGTTCAAATAAGGGATATGGGAAGATTAAATATATTAATATGTACCCATACTTGTTTCCATTTCCATTTATCCTGAGACAGATTAATATACAGGCCAGCACATATTCTTTGAGTGTATAATCACACCATGGTCAGCTTAAATATAAGTATTGGCTTTGAGTGTTCCTTCAAAAAACCAAAATAATTTTTAAAATCTTGTTTTTCTAGACCTTAGGGTTATAAAGAAAAGTTAAAAAAACAGGACCATGGCCCTCCAGCTATTGGACTACAATTCCTATCACCCTGACTATTGGTTATGCTGGCAGGGGCTGATCAAAATTGAACATCATCTGGAGGGCCACAGAGTCCCCACTCCTGCTGTAAAATGGGTAGGCGATCCTCAGTGAAAACCCAGGATGAGGGCAGGAGTCATCTGAATGCTCAGTGCCCTGTGGCTCTCGGCCACAGGCAGTGGCATTTGGAGAGGGCTGCCATGTGAGTGAACAGATGGGGGATCCTTTCCGCAATATCCTATGGGCGGCTACTTTTGCTAAATTGCTGCAAGTATAATGCAGTCCCTATTTAACCTGCTAGGTGTGAATGCTTTTACTTACAACAGGTCTAGAAACTGGCACTTCAGAATGTCTGCATTCCTTTCCAGTATGGAATTAAAAGAAAGTCCTTGGATAAAGTTCTACCAGTGGTGGTCATGACTAAGTTACATCCCATTCTACTCTGGCTAGAACCCCTTGAGAATTCTATGTTAAGCCTGTTCTTTGTTGTACCATATTTTAATACTTTGGTTTCTTCCTGGGATAATCTTTGTTTTAAAAGAAAAAAGAATGAATGTTCTCAGGCTAAATTCGAGTAGCATATATATTTACTTTAATGACAGTGCTAATGCACATTTGTGCAACCAGCAGGGAGTGAAATTAAATACTTCAACAGTCTCACTACAGTAAATCTTCTTTTCACTCAGCCAACACAAAATCTATGTGCTCTCTTATCTTCTAGCCTTTTAAGTGGAGCATGGTGGTATTAAGAACCAAGACCTCCCCAACTTTTGAATGATGGCTTTGTATGTGCTCTTTTGTGGAAAAGTATGCTTGCTACTCTTCTTGTATTGAAGTTTCATCCATCTCAGAATATATGTGCCTTTGCCACTCCTTTCTGCTGCAGATGGAAGGCCCACTGGTCTTTCCATAAGGGGCATTTTGATCCAGAGGAATCTTCTGCAGCTGAGAGACAGTGTTCCATTTCTTTGAGACTGCAAAGCGTGGTGGAACATAAAAATGTCTTTTGTGTATACATAAAGACATAAGGATGCACATTGGGTTTATCCAGCGTTAGTTAGAGTAGATGCCTTAAAAGAATAGAACTTAAGATAGTCATGACTTGCATAGGACTAACAGTAGATACAAGCCAAAGTATGCAATATAAATTACTATTATATTGTATATTATATCCCACCTTTCTTCTTGCAAGAATCCCAAGACAGCTTACAAGATTCACCTCTTCTCTGTTTAAGTCTCACAACAACAACCCTGTGAACAAGGTTGGCTGAGAGTTGTGACTGGTCCAAAGTCACGCAGTGTCTTTCATGGCTGAGCAGGAACTAGAACCCAGATCTCCAGTTCAGCACTCTTCACCTCTGTGCCAAACTGGCTCTCAGCTGAAGTGCAGATAAAATGGTAATGTAATTCTAGAATGCTCACTTAGGATGGGACCTGGGTTTCCCCTTCTTTGCAGTTTGGCTCTGGCTTAGGAATATAGGAAGCTGCTTTATGCGGAGCTGGCACACTGGTCCACCTAGGTCAGGGATCGGCAACCTTTAACACTCAAAGAGCCATTTGGACACATTTCCCACAGAAAAGAAAACACCGGGAGCCGCAAAACCCTTTTGACATCTAAAATGAAGATAACACTGCATATATAATTTTTTACCTTTATGCTGTGTATAAAAAGAAACTATATTATTATTATTATTAGAACATTTCTATGCCGCCCCTTGCCAAAGCCTCGGGGCGGCTTACAACACAATACAATACAATACAAAAATAACAATATAAAATTAAAATTAATAATATAAAATAAATAAAAAATATAAACGATATAAAAGGAGTTAGAAAAGTTATAAAAGAAAAGAAAAGAAGTCGCCCTGGCCAGATAAATAAGTAAATATTGTTAACAATTAAAATGACGTTTTAAAAAAAAAGGTCTTCACCTGGCGCCAAAAAACAAATAACGGCGCCAGGCGGACCTCTCTGGGGAGCATATTCCATAGATTGGGCGCCACCGCAGAGAAAGCCTTCCTCCGAGTACCTACCCTCCTAATTTCTTTCACGGAGGGTTCCCGGAGAAGGGCCTCTCCCGCAGATCTCAAGGGGTGGTCGGGCATATATGGGTGTAAGCACTCCTTCAGGTAACCAGGTCCCAAGCCATTTAGGGCTTTATAGGTCATAACCAACACCTTGAATTGGGCCCGGACTTCAATGGGAAGCCAGTGAAGCTGTCGGAGGACTGGAGTCATGTGAGCATAACGCCCCGTCCCCGTCAGCAACCTGGCAGCTCTATTTTGAACCAATTGAAGTATCCGGACCGTCTTCAAGGGAAGCCCCATGTAAAGTGCCTTACAGAAGTCAAGGCGGGAAGTCACCAGCACGTGTGTCACCGTCGCCAGGCAGTCGTACTCCAGGTAGGGGCGCAGCTGATTAATCAGCCGAAGCTGAAGAAAAGCGCTCCTCGCCATCGTTGTCACCTGAGCTTCCAATGAAAGCTCTGGGTCAAGGAGTACTCCTAAGCTGCGGACCTTGTCCCTAAGTGGGAGTGCAACCCCATTCAGGGCCAGGTCAAATCCACCCTCTCCGAAGCCCGATCCTCCAACCAACAGGACCTCCGTCTTGTCTGGATTGAGCTTCAGTTTATTGGCCCTCATCCAGCCCATTACCTCGGCCAAGCACCGGTTCAGTACAGCCACTGCCTCACCTGGATTAGTGGAAAATGAGAGGTAGAGCTGGGTATCATCAGCGTCCTGATGATTCCGTAGCCCACACCTCCTGATGACCTCTCCCAGTGGTTTCATATAGATGTTAAACAGCAAAGGGGACAAAATGGACCCCTGCGGTACTCCATGGCATAGCTGCCATGGTGCAGAGCCATAGTCCCCCAGCACTACCTTCTGGAATCGGCCGTTGAGATAGGAGCGGAACCACTGCAAAGCAGTGCCTCCGACCCCCAATCCCGCTAGCCTATCCAGAAGGATACTTTCGATGGTATCGAAAGCCGCTGAGAGGTCCAGGAGAACCAACAGGGATGCACTCCCCCTCTCTCTCTCCCTGCACAGGTCATCATACAGGGCGACCAAGGCAGATTCAGTACCGTACCCGGGTCTGAAGCCGGACTGAAATGGGTCCAGATAATCAGGTTCATCCAAGAGTGCTTGGAGTTGTCCCGCCACCACCCGCTCCAACACCTTGTTCAGAAACGGGATGTTGGCCACTGGTCTATAGTTAGTGGCCATCTCTGGATCCAGTGACGCTTTCTTCAGGACTGGTCGGACTACCGCCTCCTTTAAAGGGGCAGGCACCCGACCCTCCCTCAGAGAAGTGTTAACCACTTCCAAGATCCAGGTCCCAATCCCGTGCTTGGAATTATTTATTAACCAAGACGGGCAAGGGTCCAATAGGCAAGTGGTGGGACGTACTCGTCCAAGCACCATGTCCACATCATCGGGCCGCAATAACTGAAATTCATCCAATAATTCTGGACAAGACGGTAGCATTGGCGTCTCCCCAGAAACCTCTGATTCATTAGTGGAGTCCAGCTCGTGACGAATCTGAGCGATTTTCTCCCTGAAATGCCTGGCAAAGTCGTCACAGCGGGCCTTTGAGGGTGGAACCGGATCTTCCTTAGGACCCGGGCGAACCAGGCCTTGCACCACTTGAAAAAGCTCCTCCGGACGGCATTGTGAGGAGGCAATGGAAGCGGAAAAAAATTTCTTTTTCGCCGCCTTCACCGCCACAGCATAGGCCCGATAGTGGGCTCTCAAGTGTGTTCGGTCAGATTCATCCCGTGATTTCCTCCACCTACGCTCTAGATGTCTTCCAACCCGCTTCATAGCCCGCAATTCAGGTGTATACCAAGGGGAAGAGCGGGCTCTGCCCAGTGGGAGAGGACGCTTAGGAGCGATCGTGTCCACAGCCCTGGTCATCTCCCTGTTCCACAGTTCGACCAGAGCCTCGACAGGAACACCAGTCTTGTCAGCCGGAAACTCCCCCAGGGCTTTCAGGAATCCATCCAGCTCCGGGGGCGGACCCACACAATCGGATCCACACCCTTACAGAGGGAGAGTCGCTCTCGAGCACAAACCTCACCAGGAAGTGATCTGACCATGACAGGGGAGTCAAACATAAATTTCTCACCCTCAGGTCACCCTCTTCCTGCCCCGTCAAGAAAACCAGGTCCAGAGTGTGTCCACGTTCATGGGTCGGGCTGGAGACATGTTGAGACAGCCCCATGGCCGTCATGGAGGCCATGAAGTCCTGAGCTGCCCCAGTCAGACCAGACTCAGCATGGAGATTGAAGTCCCCCAGGACCAACATCCTGGGGATCCTCAACACCAGGTCCGAGACGATCTCTGTCAGCTCAGATAGTGTGTTGCATTTATGAAATCAATGAACTGCTACAGAGAAAACAAATTTTTGTTTCTGCATGCAACAAAAACAGTTTGAACTCCGAAAAAAAGACGCTGGGTTGAAAGTTACTTTCAAATAAAATACTCAATGTTTAACTGAGTCCTCGTATTTATGAAATAAAAAGCTGAACTTATATTATCCACTAGCAGCAAACCAAACATGCCACCTGCAGCAAACCAAAAATGCCGTCTGCTTCTGTGTGCCCTTTTCCTTTTATCACGTGGTGAAATATTGAACAAACATCTCTCTCGCAATGTAATAATGTTGCTGGAATTTTTATAAGAA